GCGCGTGTTTCCGTGATGTAGTTGATGAAGTAGGACGCGATGGCGACTGTGCGGTTTGTGTGTGAGATTTGAAGAGAGCCAATGTGAGTCGCCTAGAACACACCTTGCGCGCCAGTGTAGCAGAATTGAGCGAATCCAGCGAAGAATACCTTGTACTGCTTCCGGAATGGTTTATCGCCCGCGTCTTCGCCTGCGTGGGTTCTCCCCGCTTGTTCCGCCATGTCCGTGTCTATCAAACAGAAAAAAAGAAAAATGTCAACGCGTGTAGCCGGGACGCGCCAAGCTAACCGACCTGTGACTTCGGGAATAACCGAGAAGAAGAACACGACCGCGAGGAAGAACACGAAGATCGCAATCGCGAGGTACACCCACTGCACCGTCTTGAGCGAGTTGACCGAATCACCCTCTGCTTGAAGAATACATATGATCCCAGCACGGGGCCGATGACTGTTCCGATGGCCTGTACGGCCTGGGCGATGTTGATTCGGATTTCGGCGTATTTAGGTGGTCCAGTCACTGACGATACCAAGTCAGATTGTTTTTCCTCCGGACAGAAAGATACCAAGGTGATTTACGCACCAGCCATGTACGGGTTTGCCGCAGTCTCCAGACACCCGAGCCCACTCCCAATGATAAACGTCGCTCCACAAAATCCACCGAAACTGCGCTTGAGCGCCGCGGGCCACATCAGGAGCGCACCGATACCCTCGAGCACCAGTCCGAGGATGAAGACGGCACGGTAGCCGTAGTTGCGCAGGACCCAGTTGCCGTAGCCCAGCGACGCGAGCGGGTAGGCACCGAAGTAGGCCGCTTGGAGACCTGATGAGCGCGTGCGGGTGATGTTGAGGGTGTTCTGGAAGTGCTTGTTGAGGGTGTCGAGCAGGCCGTACGCGAATCCCTGTGGTGATGAAATGTTCAGGAGGTGAAAGAAAATTACACCGTGAATGGCACGCACCCAGAGGAAGTACAGAATCGTAACCAGGAAGAGCGGCCAAAGCGTCTCCCTGAGCGTCAAATTCGACGCATTCGTGAGTCGGTTCCCGACCTTGAGCGAGTGCGCCTGGAACCGCCTCGCCTTCGTCGGGGCAGGTTTTTCATTCTCGGACGTCGGAGTCATCATCGTGGCAAGAGTTGGAGAGCGCAAGAGAAGAGAAAAGACGACGGAGAGTGGGAGTGGGAACGCTGGAGTGTTCTTCCGACCTAACACCTCGTGCATTGCTTAAATGCGGCATATTATGGGCACCGGACCGACATTACGGCAGCCCGGAGACCAGCTGAGAGAAGAGAGGAGAAAGAGAAGAAGCTGGCCAAATCAATCTCCCATGTCAGTCGGTCCCGTCACAGCCAGGCTTCGTGCTTTTTTGCAAATGAACCCGGGGGATGAGGGGCGCGAGCCGGCGGAAATGCTGACCGGCGACAGGATAATGGCATGCAAGAACTGACTTCGCACGTCCTCCGAGGCCCTCTGCCCGACGCCTCGCACTTGACAGCCAGCATTCAACCTACACCCCCATCCCTATCCGGTCCGATGTTGCGGATATCGCAATCGCTATCAACCCCACACACTCTACCCCCACACACACACACCCACATGACCCCGACCTTCGTCGTAATTTCACACGAAGCGGTCACCTGAGGCGCAATTGTATGCAGGACGCACTCCAGTCGATGATAACTAGTACTCACCGTCCCGCTAAGGATGAGCAGATCTCGAGCTCGAATCGGCACAGCTCTAGGTGAATGGGCGAGGGTGCGATGCCCGGCGTCTGATTCATTTTTTGGACCGCCGCATGGGCGCTGTGCTCGCGAAGAAGTGTAGTGGTCACCGGCAAAGTCAGGCATCGCGCGGAGCATGATCCGGCAGCGTGTGTGATCGGATCGTGAAGCGGGAATGCAGCAAAACGTGTCATGGGCACGTTGCGAACCCTTGTTGAATGACCCAAAATCAACGCGGCTTTCCTGGGTATAGTTGGGGCTGGTAGGGAGAAAATAAGATGTCGGGGCCCTGCTCCTCTTCTGGCCAGCATTCAAAACGTAGATGGCGTGACGGTCACAAGATGATCTGCCTCAATAATTCGGCAATGACAGCTGATTGAAAAACGTTAGACAGTGCACGATTATTTCGATGTGATCGCGGAAAATCCCGTAGCACAGCATATTTCCTCATTCAGTACTTTTCGCTCCACCGCACTCCACGCGACATCTGTTTTTAGCTGGAAGGGACGGACAACCCTGGAATTCCACCGTTCCGTGCATTGGACCGAGCTCGAAAGATGCTGCGTTTGCAGATCCTAGTCGCAGCCGAAATGCAGGAGGCGGACAGACCGCGCGAGGACATGACAATGCTGTGCTACGGGATTTTCCGCGATCACATCGAAATAATCGTGCACTGTCTAACGTTTTTCAATCAGCTGGAAATTGGAGTAGCCGTGTGACAGAAACACGTGATGCTTCTTCTCCTGTCACAGATATGTCGCACACCAGTCTCGATCAGTCTCGACCCTCTGCGCTGATGGAGAACAATTCTATTGGTCTGTTCCGATATCCCCAAAAGGCGCTTCCAGCGCCGGCCGTTCAGCCTATCTCCGGCCCGAGCCATTTAACCCTCTTCAGATATAGAGCAAATGTGTCAGCATCTAGTTTCCAAATCCTATAAGGATTTCTGTTTCATTTTGAATCGGTATGTAAACCCATTGGTTCTGCCAGCTTGCATAGTGGATCAACTCATCATGCCCCTCTCTGTTGTTGTCGAACGGTGCACTTGGGACTGGCCTAGGGCTTGACGAAAGAAGTGATGTGCACATATCCCCCCTCATTGGAAGCGAGTTACTTCAGGTTCAATATAAGTAGAGAGAAATCATACATTTTCCCATTGGGTTGATGCGGTGTCTGAGATCACCCACAAAAGGCAGAGCAAAAGATGTCATCTCAGACTGCAGCAGGCTCCGAAATCAGGAAAACTCCGGCCGGCAAGGATCCTGTGCAGATGACTTCAATCATCCGGCCATCAAACATTTGTCCTTGGCTGTAAAGACAAATTGAGCTATGCCCCGACTATGCCTCCTGCGTTGTTTCACCACAGAGGGGAAAAAAATCAACATCACTTCTCAGGTACAATCTGGGGATGTGGATCCCGTCATTTGACGGAAGCAACGCAGGAAGCACTTCCAAGGGTCACGTGCAGGAAGCATGAGAGTCTTGCGTACATATGAAACCAGTGCGAGTACGTACTTTTGTGATGACTCACCGGAACCCATCTCCTGGGTGGCAGGGACTGAGCGGGAGTGCATCCAGCCCTCTATCAGCGTGGCTGAGATGGGTGATGCGAGTAGCTGAGCGCACGCAGTGCGGGATTGCGGCATGCGGGAGAATGGGAGAATCCTGCTGGGCGTTCCTATTTGTATTCTACTACGTCTGGGCTGTGCGCTCCTTACCTTTATCTCGTACACCTCCTTCTTTTATTCACTCGACAAAGGGCTTTCTACCTCTATGACTCCAGTCAGACCGCTCGTCGAACAGGCGCAGGGCGCATTCGTGACCCTGTGGACCATGTGAGTGGACATCGAGCTCCTTATCGCCCAGACTAACCCTCGCGTCTGGCTTCCAGGTATATGCTATCCGTCGCAGCCTACTTCCCTGGCGTCTACCGTGCGTGTGTCTATATTTCTCTGCTCGAAGACCACTGAGAATTAAGCGAAAGAGGTGGCCATCCGCGTGCACCATGTGCGGATGGGTCAGAGGGATCTCAAAGCAGAGATATTCGTGCGCTGTCAACTTCTTGGCATTGAATCTGCGCTCCTGACTTGGATGCGTGCAGATCTTGGTCACTTTGTACGCTCTGCTACTATGTAAATGGTCCGGTTCGTCTCACACTCGACGTGAACGCTCCCAGTGCGGTGGACAGTGCTGCGCTGCTTTGTCGTGAGTTCTGACAGCCTATTTCGGGCCTCACGTAACACAGAAGGACAGTTTTCGATACGTGAATTGGCTGGGCATCATATCGGATCCGCGTCGCTGATCGAACCCCATCTGCTCCTAGCGTGTATCCCGGAACCATTCCACTCCTGTCGTTGATCAGCTCCGTCGATGCTAACTTTCTCGTATGTCTCAAAGCATGTACATTCACTGTTCCTCAAGAGCTCTGACCCCGCACAGTGTTTCGTGCAACTCTCGGTCCGCTCCAATTGTCTTACGGGTCTTTCCGGTGGCTGACTCGTGCCGACAGACGCTCGTCGCTGCGCTGGCTCAAATGTGGGTGCTCCCCTTTGCGTCATCTTGTGACCGCTATGAACAATCGGACTTTGGGCAGGTTTTACGCTCACTATATCGTCAAGGGCAAGTCTAGCTCCCCAAACCACGTCGTTCCCAGACCGTTTTTAAACTGTGAATAGTTGACAGATCCGCGGGAAAGGGATTGCTGATTGGTTTGACGGCGGGTCTTTCTCTTGGTGCAGTGTCCCTCTCCTTCAGAGTGAGCCTCTGACCCTCTCATTCTCTGAAAGCTTCGTCTCTAGGTGTGTTTCCCATATAGTCGTCGGGTTACAATTTCGCACGTTGACCTTGGGGGCACATCAACCTCAGCGAGAACCATCTTCGAATCCACCTCAGTTACCACCGCCATCACCCGGTTGCACCCCCGCGGGGGGGATTTGGTCCATTTGGGGGCGGGGGCATATGCGGGGGTCAGCAGGGGGGGGTCTGTACATGTCATGTGATTTATCATTGGGAGCGGGCAGGTGGGTGCGAAAAAAAAAAATGAATCACATGACACATCCAATGGGCGGGATGGCGGCTGATGGCGGGGTAAAAAAATCACGTGATGCACCGCATGAAAATTATCAAAAATGGCTAGCAGGGGTTGGCGGGGGTTGGCGGGGGCGCTACTGGCCCCCCGCACACCATGGCGGGCAGTGGGCGCATTATCACGTGACTTTTGGGGCACCTTTTGTGCACCATTCGGCATGATTTCGGAGGTGTTGCTTGATCCATTGCATGCTGTGGCAGACAATGGGCGCATAATCACGTGATTTTCCGCCCAAAAAAATGGAAGCCTTCCCCAAATCATCCTGGTATCATTTCTATCGGTAAATACACTAGTTAAGCATGAATTTGAGCTTAGAAAGCCCAAAATGCACCCTGCACAATGGGACTGGTGATGCACTTGATCCCATCATTTGGCGGGGTCTGCTGCGGGGGGTGCCACGGGGGGTGCTGCGGGGGGTGCTGCGGGGGGTGCCGCAGGGGGTGCCACAAGGGGTGCCGCAGGGGGTGCCGCAGGGCCCGCTGTGGGGTCAACCACAGGAGCAGGGGTAGGGGTGCATTGCATCATATTTTGATCTATCTATTCTCGCTGTGGTCATAGCATGCAGCATAATTATCCTTCATTTTGCCAGGAGTTTGGAGGCTGTGTCTGGGGTTGGTCTGCAGCTACAGCCATGTGACTCCCTGATGCTTCGGCAGGGGCTGGGATATCAAAACTGTGCAATATTGTCTGCATAATCCAGGCATGTAGGGTTAAAAAGAAAGTGTGATTTGTTCATTTTTTGGCTGGCAGGGTAGGTGGGCTGACATCATGGGCTGCATCGGGTCCACTGTCAACTCATTGATTGTTTCGTCTGCTCATTCTATACACATGCCCATTGGTAAGCTGATCATGCTGTAGGCACAGTCTAATCTTACCCAGTGGATAATACCACACGTTAATTATGCACCTAATGTCACACTTCCTGTCTGGGACTCATTGAAGTTCATCTGTTCTGTGTTACTTTACAAGCAGTTTGCTTTAGTTGCAACATGAACAGATGTAATAGAGTGGATTTGACATGCCCTGAATTGATTCCTAGGTGGAATATGAGACAATGGATTCACCAGCGAGTTGCCTCACAATAGTCAGAGATTGGTAATATTTGAATTTCAAATTTCATATACAACACTCTGTGCACTCAGAGCTCGTATATTTGCAAGATAGACTGTAGAGACATAGATGGTTACTTTTACTACCTCTGGGGCTGCACACATCCTTGCCATGACCCACTGCCTGCACCCCTGCTGGTACCCCCATTGGCACCCCCGCCGGCACCCCTGTTGGCACCCCCGCTGGCACCCCCGCTGGCACCCCCGCCAGTCTAGCACCCCCCGCTGCACCGGTGCCTTGTCCCCGTGATTTTCTTATATGTAAGATTATGTAAACTGACAGCTCGGAACACGTCAAGTCACTAGCCAATCAGAACCTGTATAAACGTCGTACCTAAGTGTTTACTGCTCTTCTAACACTGTTCCTACAGTTATGCAGCTGAAAACCATCGGAATAAGGTCTCCTTCTGCTATTCTTATTGAATATGTAGATACTTCATATCATTTGTCCACCTAAAATTCAAAACATGAAAAGAGTTCACCATTGCTCAAGGTTCCTATGTAGACAATGGTTCAACATGGTTCACTTTGGGTATGGCCAAAATATTTTTTCTACACACAAGCAATTCAATACAGCTGAATGATATACTCTTTGGCAGTGCCTGAAACAAATTCTGAGAGCCCTGGACCCTGGAACTATTCAAAAACTTGAAATGAGTCCGAAAAATAGGGTCTTGATAAACATGAGATATGGGCTGGTTTGAAGAGACATGGGCCACCGGTCATGTTGAATATAGTATTTTACAATGTTTCGGTGCCCTACCTCTCATCACATGGCCTCATTTCCTACTAAAAAGGGTGCATACACACTCAAGCTCATAAAATCAATTGTCACCCAGAAACAAGAGCAGTGAAGTTGTTTCACTGGGATTGGGTAAAGGTTACCTAGAAGTCACTTGGGTTGCAGTACAGAAGCTTTGGAAAGTGATTTTGTAGTTGATCCACATTTGGTAGGCTGGCAGATGCTTGTGCACCCCCACGGCACCCCCCGTGGCACCCCCCGCGGCACCCCCTGTGGTTGACCCCCCCCCCAACCCCTGCAAGGATTTAATTGACAAATGTCCTGCTCAATCCATTGTAAGAGTCTACAGTATTATTGGATTCAGTAAAGGGCCCAAATGGTGTGTAGACAAGAAGTATGAAATCCGGAAATCATGTCATAGTTCGGCCACTTTTTCATCTTATCATCGACGATCTTATCTTATCCTGGCACAACTTATCTTATCACGGATCACGGCATCAGACGGTCCGGACTAGGGGTTTCAGGGATTATCTTCATCGATTAGAGGCTGCGCGACATATGCTCCAGAAGGTTCTACTACGACCCATGACCAGCGTTCCATGCGGTACATAGCCCTATGACTCATTAGTTGTAGATATGACTCAGACTGGATTTGGGTATAAATACTGTAGCTACCTGGTTGTATTCTCCAGTCTTCGAATTCACTTCCACCACCGACGACAAAGGCGAATACAAGAAGGGGGACCAGGATAATATCCTCATCGAGTTCCTGGAGCGCGGACTCAGCAGCGAGATCGCCAGTCGTCTCTACAACACCGGTGTCCCTCTGCCCAAGGCCTATGGAGCGTTCAAAGCCTGGTGCATCAACATCGAAGCCAATGCTCTGCGTGACCAGCTACGCAAAGCGTCGTATGGGCACCCCACACAACGACCACCTCCCCAGTTCCGTCCCCAAACGGCACCAGTGGCGCCCACACCCGCTCCGGCCCGACCCGCCGCCAACGAACCGGTTCCGATGGAAATCGATCGTACCCACGCCCGCGGCCGCAATATCATCTGCTACAACTGTCAGCAGCCTGGGCACATTGCGCGGAACTGCCCGGAGCCCAAGAAGAAGCGCACGTTCTTCAATCGGGCCACAATGCTGGAAGAAATCGAGAACGGGGACAAGGACAACGAGTTCCTGAAGGAGATTGCCAAGAAGCTGCGCGAGAAGGGTTTTTGAAGCGCTCCACTCCTCTAGCCAAGGAGGTGGAGCGTCCGGACTATGGACGATTTTCTGTACTTGTTTCGATTAAAGATACAGACAATATTTCATCTACATACACGATCTCAGACTCACTACGTACAAATATTCACGATTTTCTTACTGCCGAGATGGAAAAAGAACGCCAGGAAAAGATAGCTCTAAATAGAAAATACTTACAAGATAAAAAGGATCAGAAAGCTGCAGATAAATTATTTTTGGACTCCTACGTATTTATGGCTCGTGGAGAAGGAACCACGTCAACAAAGACCGAAAAGGGGAGCATCGCTCCGAAGGCTCGATCCTTGAAAAAGGAGGAAGCGCCCAAGGAATCTGCCAAAATCGAGGTTCCAGAAGCACCCAAACGCACCAGGGTGCCAGATGCCATCCAGAGGAAATTGGCGACCGAGAAACAGAAGGGCCCCCAGCCCAGCAGATTGGCGCAGGAATTGCGCAGTTACCAAGCCGAAAGAAAGAGGCATTCGATGGACGTATATGTCCAGATCACGGGCCTGGACTCAGGGAAAACGCGTGGAGTCAAGGCGCTGCTCGATAGTGGCTGCAGTACCTGCTGCATCGACACCGACTACGCACGGGCAGAAAAGCTGGATATCCAAGAGCTTCCGCAACCCATTGTGGCTCGTAACGCCGATAACACCGAGAACATCAGCGGTCGGATCACGCACTACGTCGACTTGAGAATGAGAATCGGTCCTCATGTGGAGACACGCACGTTCCTTCTGACGTGTCTGGGAAAAGCCCGGATCTTCATCGGCCTGGATTGGCTGACGGAACACAACCCCGAGGTGGATTGGCAGGAGCAGACAATGAGATTCAGCCGATGCCCAGAGCAATGTCAAATGAGGGGTCACGAGGAGCACCAAGCAATGATCGACATGGATGCAATTGACCTGGACGCGGGTGCACCGGATCTGGAAGAGGGAGAATCGATCTTGTTGATCGACTTTGGAAAGGAGGTAGACCTACGGCTGAAGGAAACGCCGGCGCAGAAATTCGCAGAAGAAGCGGAAAAGGAGAAGGAGAGAATGACCGAGGGAAAGATTCCAGATCAATACCGAGAATTCGTCAAAGTATTCGCCAAGGAATCATTCGACTCGCTACCGGACCGACGGGCATGGGATCATGCGATCGAGCTCAAACCAGGCTCCAAAGCAGTGGACTGCAAGGTGTACCCCTTATCGAGAAACGAGCAGGTCAAACTCGACGAGTTCTTACAAGAGAACCTAGCCAGCGGACGAATTAGGCCATCAAAATCACCCATGGCATCGGCATTCTTCTTTGTCAAAAAGAAGGATGGCTCGCTACGGCCTGTTCAAGATTACCGGAAGCTGAATGAGATGACGATCCGAAATCGGTACCCGCTACCGCTGATTTCCGAACTGGTCCACAACCTGTGCGGCGCCAAGGTCTTCACCAAGCTAGACATCCGGTGGGGATACAACAACGTACGGATCAAAGAGGGCGACGAGTGGAAGGCTGCATTCCGCACGAACCGAGGGCTGTACGAACCCTTAGTTATGTTCTTTGGTCTCACGAATTCTCCGGCAACGTTCCAAAACATGATGAACGACATACTCCGGGAACTGATCAACGAGGGACATGTGGTAGTTTATCTGGACGACATACTAATCTTCACAGAAAATCTGGATGAACATCGACGAATCACCAAATGGGTACTCGAGTTGCTCCAAAAGCACAAATTATACCTGAAGCCGGAAAAGTGCGAGTTCGAACGCACGGAAATCGAATACCTGGGTGTAATCATTGGACACAACTCGATGCGGATGGACCCTGTCAAGATCAAGGGCGTGATGGAATGGCCGGAACCAAAGAGCGTCAAACAAGTCCAAGCCTTCCTCGGATTCACAAACTTCTATCGACGTTTTGTTCGGGGATATGCGGAGGTCGCCAAGCCGTTGACGCGGCTGACAGGGAAGGCAGGATGGTCATGGGGTGCAGATGAACATGCGGCGTTTGATGGGTTAAAGAAGAGAATCGCGGAGGATGCCGTCTTAGCACTGCCAAATGACACTGGCCAATATCGTCTGGAAGCCGATGCTTCGGAAGGGGCAACAGGATCAGTTTTGAGCCAAAACCAAGACGGCATTTGGCGCCCAATCGCATTTATTTCGCACGCATTGACCGAAACCGAGCGAAATTATGAGATCTACGACAAGGAGATGCTCGCAATCATGTTATCACTTGACGAATGGAGGCAGTTGCTCCTGGGAGCCACGGAAACGTTCGAGATCTTCACCGATCATCAGAATCTCGAGTACTTTCGGAAGCCGCAGAAGCTCAATCGACGGCAAGCACGATGGATCACGGAGTTGGCGGAGTTCGACTTCACCTTACGACACCGACCCGGCGCACTCAACCGCAAGGCGGACCTCCTGTCCCGACAAGCAGATCACGATCAGGGCAAGAACGACAACAAGGACGTCACGCTACTGAAGCCCGAGTTCTTCCGATCACAAGAAGTCACATTCGAGGGACAGGATCAGCAGCTACTCGACGAAATCAAGACCATTCGATCAATTGATGGAAGCGTCAAGGCGGCCTTAGAGAAGTCACTCGCCGGATGGAAGAAGGAAGAGGGGCTTATCACGTACCATGGGAAGCTCTACGTACCAAGGGACGAGGAGTTGCGGGACAAAATCATCGGACTACACCATGACACCCCTTTGGTCGGACACGCCGGGATCAACCGAACGCAGGAGATGGTGGAAAGGAACTACTGGTGGCCGAGGATGGGAAACCAAATTCGGAAATACATCCAGACGTGCGAAGCGTGCCAGCGGACCAAGACCAGAAGAGCCAGGACAGGGAGTTTGCACCCGCATGCAGTTCCAAACGCGCCGTGGGAAATCATCTCCATGGATCAGATCGGACCCCTGCCGGCCAGTAACGGGTATGATGCAATTCATGTGTGGTGTGACACCTTCACCAAAATGATCCATGTCGAACCAATTAGTACTGACATCAGCAGCGAAGGAGTAGCACGATTAACCAGGGACCGAATCTTCCGCTATCACGGAGTCCCCCGCAAAATCATCACTGACAGGGACTCTCGATACATCAAGGGCTTTATGAAGGAAACGAATCGGATGTTGGGCGTGGAAATGAATCCGGGGACCGCATATCACCCCATCACGGATGGGCAGACGGAGCGTATGAATCAGGAGATCGAACACTATCTCCGCATTTACGTCAACTACCATCAGACGGACTGGTCGGAGTGGCTGGGAATGGCGGAGTTCGCATACAACGACAAAATGAACACGTCTACCAAAATGTCGCCGTTCTATGCTAATCACGGATATCACCCATGGAAGGGAGTGGAGCAGCGGATGGAATCAAGGAACGAGTCGGCGGAGGAATTTGTAAAAAGAATCAAAGAAATACAAGACGAAGCAAAAGCAGCATTGGAAAAAGCAAAAGAAAAATGAAAAAATACTACGATAAACAAAGAAAAGAAGTTCCGGAGTTGAAGGTTGGGATGAAGGTGTACATAGAAGGGGAAAATATCGAGACGGATAGACCATCAAAGAAGACGAGCGACAAGAGATTGGGACCATACAAGATACTGGAGAAGGTTGGAGCGGCCGCATGGAAGCTGGATTTGCCGGACACGGACCGAAGACACCCGGTGTTCAACAAGTCACTGTTGACACCCTATCACGAACCACCCCCCCATCGCCGAGAGAAGAGACCCGTGGCCAAGATGATCGGAGGAGCAGAGGAGTGGGAAGTCGAAGAAATCGTGAAAGAGCGAAAAGTCGGCCGAGGGAAACAGTACTTGGTCAAATGGAAGGGATGGCCGCACAGCGAGAACACCTGGGAACCATCACGTCACCTTACCCACGCAAAGGACGTCCTGAGCGACTGGCAGAGGAAACAATCAAATCCAGACACACGCATTCGCCTCCTGCCAACGCTCGAAGCTGGACACTGGGACTATCTCATTCATCGCTACCAGCCCAGGGACGAGCGCCTTCCATACCCCCAACGACAGCTCTTCGACCCTTACGAGAACGTCTTCTTACCCATTGGCCTGGTCGATGAGGACATCGACCCTAGAGAGGGGGTAATGTCATAGTCCGGCCACTTTTTCATCTTATCACCGACGATCCTATCTTATCTTGGCACGACTTATCTTATCACGGATCACGGCATCAGACGGTCCGGACTAGGGGTTTCAGGGATTATCTTCATCCATTAGAGGCTGCGCGACATATGCTCCGGAAGGTTCTACTACGACCCATGACCAGCGTTCCATGCGGCACATAGCCCTATGACTCATTAGTTGTAGATATGACTCAGACTGGATTTGGGTATAAATACTGTAGCTACCTGGTTGTATTCTCCAGTCTTCGAATTCACTTCTCTTTTCGACTTTGTTTTTGAGTTGATTGTCACAAATCAACAATTATGACACCTCCACGGAATATGCTGCAAATGGAGAGAAAAATTTGAGTGCAGACAGACTACCTGAAGCAAACAGACAGAGAAAAGAAACATTAGCCATTTCTTGTTGATGATGTTGGCTGTCCCTGGAGCATGTACTTGGGAGATTTGCCTAACAAATCAAGTTGCACATTTTTCAAATTTTTAGTTTGACCTGACAGCTTGAGCAGACCATGCTAAAATGAACCAAGTCATATATATCAGTGCCCCAAGCCAAGCCAAAAGATTTAGGTAAATTTGCACAGTTTTGATATCCCAGCCCCTGCCGAAGCATCAGGGAGTCACATGGCTGTAGCTGCAGACCAACCCCAGACACAGCCTCCAAACTCCTGGCAAAATGAAGGATAATTATGCTGCATGCTATGACCACAGCGAGAATAGATAGATCAAAATATGATGCAATGCACCCCTACCCCTGCTCCTGTGGTTGACCCCACAGCGGGCCCTGCGGCACCCCCTGCGGCACCCCTTGTGGCACCCCCTGCGGCACCCCCCGCAGCACCCCCCGCAGCACCCCCCGTGGCACCCCCCGCAGCAGACCCCGCCAAATGATGGGATCAAGTGCATCACCAGTCCCATTGTGCAGGGTGCATTTTGGGCTTTCTAAGCTCAAATTCATGCTTAACTAGTGTATTTACCGATAGAAATGATACCAGGATGATTTGGGGAAGGCTTCCATTTTTTTGGGCGGAAAATCACGTGATTATGCGCCCATTGTCTGCCACAGCATGCAATGGATCAAGCAACACCTCCGAAATCATGCCGAATGGTGCACAAAAGGTGCCCCAAAAGTCACGTGATAATGCGCCCACTGCCCGCCATGGTGTGCGGGGGGCCAGTAGCGCCCCCGCCAACCCCCGCCAACCCCTGCTAGCCATTTTTGATAATTTTCATGCGGTGCATCACGTGATTTTTTTACCCCGCCATCAGCCGCCATCCCGCCCATTGGATGTGTCATGTGATTCATTTTTTTTTTTTGCGCCCACCTGCCCGCTCCCAATGATAAATCACATGACATGTACAGACCCCCCCCTGCTGACCCCCGCATATGCCCCCGCCCCCAAATGGACCAAATCCCCCCCGCGGGCCCCGCAGGGGGGTACCTGTTAGGTACCCTCAGAGCTACGTCTGAGGGTACCCAGGAGGACCCCCGCGGGGGTGCAACCGGGTGATGGCGGTGGTAACTGAGGTGTTCGAATCCGACCCAGGACCAAGCACCGTGTCCAATACCAGCATGTTCGCGCAACTGACTCCGTTCCTCACCTTCATCAGCTCGACGTTCATCTACTCAGCCTTCCTGGCCCATCATGCTCCTCCCTCCAACCGCATCGAATTCTCTGCGGACGTCGGCTGCATGGCGTGTGTGTGGCCCGTGCACTGGCGGCGCCATGCCGCCGCCAAGCTCGTCGTCGCCGATAAGAGCACTCCCCGCGGGACCCTGTGGGGGATCACGTTCCAGGAAGCGATGCCGCGTGGACTGGGTGCGCTGTGTCTGTACTTTGGGAGTTTGGCGGCGGTGCGTGGTCTCCGTCCCACGCATTGAGCCGTGCGTCATTAACGTTTCACCGCATTGGTGGCATCAGTTCGTGTTCTTCCCGGAAGAGTTGTACTGGGTTGTGTTCTATGCCATGGGTGCCAAAGGTATGAGCAAAGTCCTTGGTTTGAGTCTCCTCAGTTCCTCAAAGTCGCGACAGCTGCTATGAATGGCGCATTTTATATGTGAGCCCGGCGCACACCAAAATGAAAAATGCACTTCGATTGATTGTCTTGCAGAGCAAACTCGAAGGAACTCCGAGCCGTTGATTTTGATCATATGGAGATCGCGGGGGATGATGCAGATGAAGATGGATCGGATGAGATTTGATTTGATATTCTTTTGATCGGGGATAATTCTTACCTCTATGTTGAAGCCCCCTCGCTGAAACATTGATCTACGTATGGAGGCTCGGAAGGCCCTGCTCATAAACGAGACAGGTGACAGTGATGGGTGATGGGAGACCCCATACACTTGGGTAGCCGTCAGAAATGGCCTCGGATGACGGGCACAAGAGTCAAGAATGAGTAACAGAGTGAAATGCCTACGGAGCGTATGAGCGCGCAGCCTCACGGGGAGAGGTAAGGGACTAGTCGGCGGTCGGGGGGCGAGCGAGTTTGATCCCAGTCCGAGGCATCCGCTGCACGTGAAACAACCTTGATGAGCTCGCTGACAAATCCATACAATCTTTTGGTGCACGTGATTGACAACAGCGATACAAGAATGAGTAAAACAGCGATAGAATATGTAAAAAAGGAACACATAAAATGTAAGGACATAGTCTACCATTCATCCGCAGCCGCCAGCTCATCGGGGCCCTCTTCGTCCGAAAACCAAGCACAAATGTCGTCCTCCCCTTCAAAGTCAGTCTCACCAGCAACGTTAGGCTCCACTTCGTCAATCAGACGTCGGAGCTGAGCGTGCTGAGCATCATCTATGTAGAAATGAGCCACAACACATCAGTTTGAATGAGAGGGACTCACCAAGTCCATTGCCGCCGTTTACACCACCCATGTAATATCCGCCATCCTGACCCACAATATCCTCCCCACCATGGAGTGGACGAAGGTTTGGGAGGGGCTGCATCTTGTTGCGATACTCGTTTTCAGCCTGAGTGAGTGCAAAACCCCACATGTCATCAACACTACTGTCAATGTTGTGAACCTCGTCGAGGTGCTCGAAGCAGCGAAGTAGCTGTCTGTAGATCTCCCAGCACGTCTCCCGAGTAATTGATGGCTCGCCAAGGTCGACATAGAATGATTGAATTAATTGTGCGAAGTCCGGCGGCACCAGTTGAAATATATCGTGGCTGGGATCAGCATACTGTTGGCGAACCGTATTTATATGCTCTTGTTTCACTTTGATCTGAAAAACAATGGCAACAAGAAGCAATAGAATAGAGCCTGAGACGTACCTTGAAATCGAGAATTGCATACTCATCCGGAAACTCAAGCATGTGCTGCGGAACACCATGAGGCAGAATCTTATTGCGGTCTCGACGTTTCGCAGTCATGTTGATTCGTTGACGGTATGCGTCAAGCTCTGCCTGCAGCCATGGGATGAAAACCCAGCGACACACAAGCCTAATACTTGTGGTCAGTGAACATTGAATGTGAAAGAGAGAGACGCACACTTGTAAGAGCACACCGGGGTCATACCAGCCATTAGTCACGCCTTCATCGAGAATATTCTCGAATCCTTTCTCTGAGTCTCTGAGTCTCATCGAATCTATCACAGGCTCAAAGGAGGTGTTGTCGGATCCGCAGATCATGACTTCACCGTGAGTCCGTTCCTGTCCTGACTCACAGTGCTAGATGAATTATCAATAACAGGGACATTGGCAACGACGGGAGCATGTTTGGGGGTGGAAATGTTGCTCAGCTCTTCGAGGACTTCCCCAAAAAGCACCAGTGCTCGGCATATTGTCAATTCTTTGGATTGAAGCTGTTACCGTGATGTATTCCACTCAAGTCATACCTGTCATAGGCCTCTCATACAATCTCTGTTCCCGTCATCATATCGCTGTTGTCAATCACGTGCACCAAAAAATTGTATGGATTTGTCAGCGAGCTCATCAAGGTTGTTTCACGTGCAGCGGATGCCTCGGACTGGGATCAAACTCGCTCGCCCCCCGACCGCCGACTAGTCCCTTACCTCTCCCCGTGAGGCTGCGCGCTCATACGCTCCGTAGGCATTTCACTCTGTTACTCATTCTTGACTCTTGTGCCCGTCATCCGAGGCCATTTCTGACGGCTACCCAAGTGTACGGGGTCTCCCATCACCCATCACTGTCACCTGTCTCGTTTATGAGCAGGGCCTTCCGAGCCTCCATATCTACGTGGCATCTCATTTTATTTCAGCGCCTCAGACAAGAACTTGGCTGGAGAGTCTGCAGGTCCGACAAGGGATGGTTGACGGCTTATGCAACGCCACGCCAAAATATCGGAAGGATGCCAGAGGGCCTGGAGCTCACGGTGTCTCAAATCGATGATGACCGGCCTCCCAATATCGTGTCTGGTTGTTTGATCGAGTGAAGTTGATGTACTTCGGTCAGAGAGAGAGAGAGAGAATATCGACATTTCAAGCATAACAGGAGGGCATGCTCAATTTGGCACACAAAAAAAAGCTCACTCGAGCTCTCGGGATTATAAAAGAAATTACCAGCCGCCAGTGAGTGACAGGTTGAATCTGTTCAAAACAAACAAATCGGCTTGTCATCTGATTGATCGCATCCGATCAAACGTCGGCTATGGCCGCCATAAAGTTATGCTCCCCCACCCATCTCACAATGGACCATGTCCTTCAGCAGATTATCTTCTCCCTAGTTCATGCAGGATGTTCCTCAGATCTTGATATCAGGGTTCCACGGAGAGACTGGAATCTTTTTGGCCAGATTGAGATGGCTGGCGATAAGTGAAAGTACCAGGTCCAGAACCACGGTACGTAGCTTTCGGCCTCTTCGCTTCAGAACGTTCGTTTGTTTTCTTTGATCACAGAACCTTTCTCGCATTTAGATCCACGCACGTCCGGTACGACTCAGCCGGCAACCACCACCATCCACGCGGCCCAGTCGTGTCCAGCCACCTAAAGCACGGTGCAAGCGCGGAGGTAGACAACATACCGCAGCCACCCTCTTCCTCCCCCATCCATCATGACACCCCCCAACACACGGTCGAACACACTCTCCCGCCGCTCGTCCGACTCGCACTACTCTGCGGCGAAAGAGGGATCGCATTCGGGCCCGTCGTCGCCCATGTCCCTCCCCGCATCGCTCCCGTCGCAGCGCGGCTCGTCCATGGCACGCGCAAGCTGGTCGCTACACCGCGACGACATCCCCCCGCGCCCACGCCCACGCCCTCGTACGCGCGCGCGGACGCCCGAGGGGTCGACGGCCGCCAGCCCGTCTTGGTCGCCGGCGCCGGCCAGCCTGCTGCTGGGCGAGCGCATGCCATCCCCACCACCCCCGCGACACTTATGGTCGCCGTCACAGGACAGCACGAGTGTTGTCATGTCCTCGTCGCCGACGGATTTTCTCGATTTCGAGGCCGACACTGCCGCAGCAGCGAAGGGCGCTGAGGAGGCGCAGGTGGAGGCTGATTACGTCGAGACGCTGGCGAAGTGTACCGTGAACGCACGCTATTGGTTCGTGCACGACCAGATGACGTACTTCAAGGTCAGCTTCCATTGAGTTGGTGCTTTTGGGAAGCTTGAGCCTCAGTTAGGTCGAGAACGAAAAGTTCTGCGTCCATCGGCACTTCTTGGAGCGCGACTCGGTGTATTTCCAAGAGCTATTTGCAGGACCCCTCGGGGACTATGGCAGGACGGAGAATGAGGCGATTCCGCTGGAGGATGTCACCGGCGCCGAATTCGAGTGTCTGCTGGACTTCTTCTATAACGGGTGCGGCGCAAACCACCTCATCCCCTGAATCCCGAAAGCTTAAAAAAACTGCAGCATGTACGTCCACACCGCATTCTCCCTCGCACAGTGGGTCTCGCTGCTCTCCGTCTCCTCCCGGCTCCAATTCGAGCTCCTGCGCAACCACTCGATCCAGCAGATCGAGGCGCACCAAACGCCGCTGGACCCGATCGATCGGCTCGTCCTCGCGACCAAGTACGACGTGCCCGAATGGCTCGCGCCGGCGTTCACGGCGCTCTGCCAGCGCGCTCAGCCGCTCGAGGAGTGGGAGGCCGAGAAGATCGGGCTCCGGAACACCGTCCGCGTCGCGAAGGCGCGCGAGGTGTTTCGCGACCGCGTCCTCGGCGTGCTGGGCTCTGGCGTGCCCAGTCCTGCCCCCAGTCCGGTGTATTCGTATTGGCGCCCTTCGGGACGTGTGCCGAGTCCGGTTGCGTCGCCAACGATCCGTGTCGATGCGGATCGGCGGTCGGATGCGAGAGCCTCGAGGATTGTTGATGAGCTATTCTTCAGGGAGCAGTGAGTTTGTCTCTTGGACGTTTAAAATCCACAGTGTGGAGTATGGTCGAGGAACTTTATCTCGCCAAGTGAGCGGGCCTCGAGCATCTTTTCGATCAAGTAACCGTGGTACTATGTAGCTAAAGAATTGTTTTTTTGTTTTGTTTCTTGTTCATCGTTGGAGAGTCCTTGTCGATTTACCATTGTTCGGAGTGACGCGTCGTTCGGCTGGCCGTTGATTCCCCTTCTGGATCTTTCGGTGACGATACTCGTGGATGAGGGACCACCTTTTTGTAGCTTCAGTGTTCAAGCCTATCTCAAGGACCGTAAAATATATTTCACAAACAAAGAGAACACAAGGAATGAATCTTCGAAACCATTGACCAGACCACACCAGATCACACCAAACTCGCACTCGACCCGACCGCAATCTTATCGACACTAATGTCCAAGCCCGCACCTCTGTCCAGAATTTGCGCGCTGAACTTGACCTGGTGGGGTTCGACGCCAATGAGGGCCGTGCCCGCTGTTCCCACGATGACTCCCGTCTCGTACACCGTCACGCCAGTGGATCCGAAAACCAGCTTGATCTGGCGCGACGGTCCGCCAGGAACGAATGCCGAGCTGCCGATGGTCTGGAACCGCCCCGCAAGGTCGAAGTAGACGTAGTTGCAGGAGACGCGACCGCCGGCGTACGGCGCGGTGCAGCGCAGGATGACGATGCTGGGCAGCTGGAGCTTGAATTCGGTGGCGGCCTGGGAGAGCAAATACGGTGAGTACTGAGCATGAGGGTGCGCCGCGGACGTACGGTGATGGAATTGATGGTGAGATCGCACTGGAACGTGTCAACCTTGACTGGGTCGAGCACCTGATCGTAAAGGGGCTTCAGGTAGGCCCAGGTGTTGTAGCCTTGGACACCCTGTGCACGCGTGATGCGGACGCCGGTGGGGCTGACTGCGACCTGCGGGCCATTGGACACGGTCGTCGCAAGCCAGGCAAGGATCATCGGGATGAAGATAATGGCCATATCGAGTGCAGAGGAGGTAACAGATGTCGCAACTGCAGAAAGCGGCTTGAAAAAAATGCTTCCTATCGCCCAGCTTATATAGAGGCATTTCGTTGAACCGAGTCCAAATATTGCCGAAGATCTGTTGGTGGCTTTTGGATCGGAGCAGAACATCGAGCGGCTGAAACTCCTTCTACAAGAGGCGAAAATTTTCGATACTCGTTTCCACAAAACCGACACCAGTCAAGACGAGTCGGTCGCTTGAGAAGTGGCATGCCGCTGGGTGACGCTCCGATTCGGTCGGTTCATCGGTACCTTGTCGACCAGCTCCGTGGTGAAACGACAATAGCGATACCTCGAATCGGTTTCTCTGCGATAGGCCTATTACAAATCACATACATATGAGTGGGAAGCCGATCGATCTTAAGTTGCGTCACGTGTCTAAAACGGCACGATCCGGACTACGTTCCTCGGGACAGCGACGTCCTAAGCCTGACTAAATGAAGTACGACTACGATCCTGATGGATTTCCGGCTCACCGAATTTCAGGAACGGTGACTTCCAAGGACTAGACCATCGGGAACTAACAAGATAGCGCAATGGGAATGTACAAATGATTTTAGTCAAACTCTGCTGCCCGGGCCAGGCCTGAAGGCGATCTAACGTAGCTGTGATATCGCGAAGCTAAATCACCATTTGCTCAGGTTTATGAGCAAAAGTTGTGCTCAGTACCTGTAATGCCAGTCCCAATACATAATAGGCCAAACTCGTTTCGACTGCACACAACTCATTGGCCACCAATTTTTACTTCAAATTATAAATCAACATATCATGAGAGCGGCCGCAGAGAAACCGACAAGAAGGATAGAATACCAGGAAATTTGGACAAGACCGACGGCCGCGCTTGAAGATTGGCTGGTCTTGGAACTCTGCGTCGGAACGGAAAGGACACTCGTCTGTGCGGGAATGAAACCCCGGGAGTCGACGTCGTCGTAGTCGTCGGAGGGGGTAAATTCAAGATGGATGTTGGTGGACCAGCGGCGACCGGGACGTTGGCCGGCAGCAGCGCAGCATTGAGTACATCGGACGTCCCGGTCAGCTGGCCCCAGGGCGCCGTGCCGTACGACCCGAGCACAGACGCCATGCTGAGAGATTTCGAATCCGAGGCGACAAACGCGCTGGGATTGTTGCTGTCCAGTGCGCCGGAGGCTAGCCACGTGTTGTCGGTGCCGATCATCTGACTCGATCCGTCCTTGTATTGGATGAGAATGGCGGCGAGGACGCCCGCACTGGCGTTCTGCTGTGCGGAGAAGTTTTGGGCAATGATATCGAAGGTTGTGGTCTGCGCAATGATGGGGACCGCAAATCGCTGGGCGAAATGCCAGGTGCGGGGGCTCCCGGATGCGTTATCGTCGAACGGCGACGCGCCGACGTAGGCGCTATCAACGAACAGCTGAAACGCGCTGTCCGCTGTCACCAACAACGTTGCGTTGGCGGGCGTTTTCCCATCCGGGGCCACGAGCGTCTTACGGAATCCCACGAAACCCGCGGACGCGTTGCCCGAGTTCCAGATCCACGACGCTTGCCCGGTCAGGTTCTGCACCCCGAACGCCGGGGAAGGGAGGAGCGAGGTATTTCCCCACGACCCGACGGTGTTCCACAGTCCCGCGACGCTGACGTTGGACCATCCAATCCCGCTGGTCAGCAAACCCACTTGATCCGCAGACGGCAGCGGGAAACCGACGGGGTACGTCGAGGCCGACTGCGTGTTATTCGGGCCCGCACCAAGCCAAGTTCCGTCCGTGCCGAATACTTCGGTAGACCCGTCCGTGTAGCGGACTTGAACCGCCGCGATGAGGCCTGCGGCGTTATTCTTCGTATTGAAGGGCCGGAAGGCGTTCACCCCCATCACGCTGATGATGTTGTCCGACGCGTTGAGCGCGGCGCTGAACTGGAACGCCGTCTTCCATCTCCCGTCGCCCGGAGGCGACGCGCCGACGGGCTGCCCGTTGCACCTCAGTTACCACCGCCATCACCCGGTTGCACCCCCGCGGGGGTCCTCCTGGGTACCCTCAGACGTAGCTCTGAGGGTACCTAACAGGTACCCCCCTGCGGGGCCCGCGGGGGGGATTTGGTCCATTTGGGGGCGGGGCATATGCGGGGGTCAGCAGGGGGGGGTCTGTACATGTCATGTGATTTATCATTGGGAGCGGGCAGGTGGGTGCGAAAAAAAAAAATGAATCACATGACACATCCAATGGGCGGGATGGCGGCTGATGGCGGGGTAAAAAAATCACGTGATGCACCGCATGAAAATTATCAAAAATGGCTAGCAGGGGTTGGCGGGGGTTGGCGGGGGCGCTACTGGCCCCCCGCACACCATGGCGGGCAGTGGGCGCATTATCACGTGACTTTTGGGGCACCTTTTGTGCACCATTCGGCATGATTTCGGAGGTGTTGCTTGATCCATTGCATGCTGTGGCAGACAATGGGCGCATAATCACGTGATTTTCCGCCCAAAAAAATGGAAGCCTTCCCCAAATCATCCTGGTATCATTTCTATTGGTAAATACACTAGTTAAGCATGAATTTGAGCTTAGAAAGCCCAAAATGCACCCTGCACAATGGGACTGGTGATGCACTTGATCCCATCATTTGGCGGGGTCTGCTGCGGGGGGTGCTGCGGGGGGTGCCGCAGGGGGTGCCACAAGGGGTGCCGCAGGGGGTGCCGCAGGGCCCGCTGTGGGGTCAACCACAGGAGCAGGGGTAGGGGTGCATTGCATCATATTTTGATCTATCTATTCTCGCTGTGGTCATAGCATGCAGCATAATTATCCTTCATTTTGCCAGGAGTTTGGAGGCTGTGTCTGGGGTTGGTCTGCAGCTACAGCCATGTGACTCCCTGATGCTTCGGCAGGGGCTGGGATATCAAAACTGTGCAAATTTACCTAAATCTTTTGGCTTGGCTTGGGGCACTGATATATATGACTTGGTTCATTTTAGCATGGTCTGCTCAAGCTGTCAGGTCAAACTAAAAATTTGAAAAATGTGCAACTTGATTTGTTAGGCAAATCTCCCAAGTACATGCTCCAGGGACAGCCAACATCATCAACAAGAAATGGCTAATGTTTCTTTTCTCTGTCTGTTTGCTTCAGGTAGTCTGTCTGCACTCAAATTTTTCTCTCCATTTGCAGCATATTCCGTGGAGGTGTCATAATTGTTGATTTCCGGATTTCATACTTCTTGTCTACACACCATTTGGGCCCTTTACTGAATCCAATAATACTGTAGACTCTTACAATGGATTGAGCAGGACATTTGTCAATTAAATCCTTGCAGGGGTTGGGGGGGGGGTCAACCACAGGGGGTGCCGCGGGGGGTGCCACGGGGGGTGCCGTGGGGGTGCACAAGCATCTGCCAGCCTACCAAATGTGGATCAACTACAAAATCACTTTCCAAAGCTTCTGTACTGCAACCCAAGTGACTTCTAGGTAACCTTTACCCAATCCCAGTGAAACAACTTCACTGCTCTTGTTTCTGGGTGACAATTGATTTTATGAGCTTGAGTGTGTATGCACCCTTTTTAGTAGGAAATGAGGCCATGTGATGAGAGGTAGGGCACCGAAACATTGTAAAATACTATATTCAACATGACCGGTGGCCCATGTCTCTTCAAACCAGCCCATATCTCATGTTTATCAAGACCCTATTTTTCGGACTCATTTCAAGTTTTTGAATAGTTCCAGGGTCCAGGGCTCTCAGAATTTGTTTCAGGCACTGCCAAAGAGTATATCATTCAGCTGTATTGAATTGCTTGTGTGTAGAAAAAATATTTTGGCCATACCCAAAGTGAACCATGTTGAACCATTGTCTACATAGGAACCTTGAGCAATGGTGAACTCTTTTCATGTTTTGAATTTTAGGTGGACAAATGATATGAAGTATCTACATATTCAATAAGAATAGCAGAAGGAGACCTTATTCCGATGGTTTTCAGCTGCATAACTGTAGGAACAGTGTTAGAAGAGCAGTAAACACTTAGGTACGACGTTTATACAGGTTCTGATTGGCTAGTGACTTGACGTGTTCCGAGCTGTCAGTTTACATAATCTTACATATAAGAAAATCACGGGGACAAGGCACCGGTGCAGCGGGGGGTGCTAGACTGGCGGGGGTGCCAGCGGGGGTGCCAGCGGGGGTGCCAACAGGGGTGCCGGCGGGGGTGCCAATGGGGGTACCAGCAGGGGTGCAGGCAGTGGGTCATGGCAAGGATGTGTGCAGCCCCAGAGGTAGTAAAAGTAACCATCTATGTCTCTACAGTCTATCTTGCAAATATACGAGCTCTGAGTGCACAGAGTGTTGTATATGAAATTTGAAATTCAAATATTACCAATCTCTGACTATTGTGAGGCAACTCGCTGGTGAATCCATTGTCTCATATTCCACCTAGGAATCAATTCAGGGCATGTCAAATCCACTCTATTACATCTGTTCATGTTGCAACTAAAGCAAACTGCTTGTAAAGTAACACAGAACAGATGAACTTCAATGAGTCCCAGACAGGAAGTGTGACATTAGGTGCATAATTAACGTGTGGTATTATCCACTGGGTAAGATTAGACTGTGCCTACAGCATGATCAGCTTACCAATGGGCATGTGTATAGAATGAGCAGACGAAACAATCAATGAGTTGACAGTGGACCCGATGCAGCCCATGATGTCAGCCCACCTACCCTGCCAGCCAAAAAATGAACAAATCACACTTTCTTTTTAACCCTACATGCCTGGATTATGCAGACAATATTGCACAGTTTTGATATCCCAGCCCCTGCCGAAGCATCAGGGAGTCACATGGCTGTAGCTGCAGACCAACCCCAGACACAGCCTCCAAACTCCTGGCAAAATGAAGGATAATTATGCTGCATGCTATGACCACAGCGAGAATAGATAGATCAAAATATGATGCAATGCACCCCTACCCCTGCTCCTGTGGTTGACCCCACAGCGGGCCCTGCGGCACCCCCTGCGGCACCCCTTGTGGCACCCCCTGCGGCACCCCCCGCAGCACCCCCCGCAGCACCCCCCGTGGCACCCCCCGCAGCAGACCCCGCCAAATGATGGGATCAAGTGCATCACCAGTCCCATTGTGCAGGGTGCATTTTGGGCTTTCTAAGCTCAAATTCATGCTTAACTAGTGTATTTACCAATAGAAATGATACCAGGATGATTTGGGGAAGGCTTCCATTTTTTTGGGCGGAAAATCACGTGATTATGCGCCCATTGTCTGCCACAGCATGCAATGGATCAAGCAACACCTCCGAAATCATGCCGAATGGTGCACAAAAGGTGCCCCAAAAGTCACGTGATAATGCGCCCACTGCCCGCCATGGTGTGCGGGGGGCCAGTAGCGCCCCCGCCAACCCCCGCCAACCCCTGCTAGCCATTTTTGATAATTTTCATGCGGTGCATCACGTGATTTTTTTACCCCGCCATCAGCCGCCATCCCGCCCATTGGATGTGTCATGTGATTCATTTTTTTTTTTCGCACCCACCTGCCCGCTCCCAATGATAAATCACATGACATGTACAGACCCCCCCCTGCTGACCCCCGCATATGCCCCGCCCCCAAATGGACCAAATCCCCCCCGCGGGCCCCGCAGGGGGGTACCTGTTAGGTACCCTCAGAGCTACGTCTGAGGGTACCCAGGAGGACCCCCGCGGGGGTGCAACCGGGTGATGGCGGTGGTAACTGAGGTGGCCCGTTGACCCAGAGTGTGAATGAGTCATCGGCGGTGATGGTGATGAGCGCCGAGGACGCAGATTTGTTGGGCGGGGTGGGAAGAAGTTTGAGGAAGGATGCGGTGCCGGCTGGAGCGTTGTGTGTGAAAGGTGACGAGGAGGGCGTGGAGAGCCAGATCCACGACGCGGAGGTGAATCCGCTCGAGCCCAGATCGCGCCTTGTAAGATCGAACAAGTTTGCAGGCAGAAGAACAGCTGCGGCTTTCAGGCCGTCAGGAAAACGTTTTCAGTCATTACATTTCAGCCTTGTACGTACAGCTGTAGGGCAGATAAGCCAGCACTGCCATGAAAAGGACCGCGACTAGGGAATAGACTGGTTAGCAGCAACGTTCATTTCAACCCCATGCGCCCAAAAAATCACCGAAAGAAATCATCCTCCCGTTTCGAGGACGTGCAGGTAAGTGGGGGGATCAGATAGTGGGGAAAACGCTACATCCCTGGATATATGCTGGCTGATGACCTGCCGAACGGATGGGCTGAATGGACGACGTGAGAATTGAGGAGCGATCATGGCTGAGGTCTCTGCAACGATCGTTGATGCCGCTGAAACTTATGATGATCAGGTTGAATACATCACTGAGCTAAGGAAATCTGATTTGATCCCTAATCTTCATAATTTGTTCTCGACCTGTCATTGCACCGCCTCCCATCTAACTTTTTCTTCCAGCGCTTGCGTTGAAGAGGAGAGATCCTCGCTTGCAGTCAGAGATCCGCGGCCAGTTGTCTACGAGTCAGGACGAAGTAGCGAGAATACGAAGAGCAGGAGCAGGCTTGTGCTTCTGTGGCATCAGTAGAGCGGGTAGAAAATAGGATATATCAGGCGTAAAGCCGCCCTCGATCAAAATCTTCGCATCAAAATACAATCTGCATCTCCTATCAAATGCATCATTTCTGAAGTTTCGGAGCGTGGCTCAGCGCTAGCGCTGTGCTGAAAATGCAAATGTTTTAAACAAAAAGTTTATAGCTGCTTTTTAAAATGTTTTAAACATTTATAGCCAAGGTGATCCAAAATCAGTGTGCTTTTTATTGCTATAAATCCATAATCATTCTTGTATGATCCCAGTCCGGTAGTAATCACAAAATCACGATTTACGTTTTTTGCACCCTTCTCTTGGGTCCCCACAAGCAGCATGCTGCTATCAAAAGAAGACTCGGGCTGCCTCATCACAGCCCACACAGCGTTCATTGAACAGGAAGACTACAGTATCCCCAACTTTGTAGGTGTCATTGAGCTGCACACGACATTGGGGAGTGAAGAACATGCCAAGTGACTTGCTCATGTCGATGCTCTGATATCCACCACAGAAGACAAACTCCCACCACCCCCAGTATGTGCAACATGTGTGATCAATCCACAAGACCTGACAGATCTAATACAGCCGCCTGGTGTCATGACGGAGCCAAAAACAAGATTCCGTGTCTTGGATGCGTCAAAGAAAGCAAAGAAGGCAGCAGACCTGAATGGCACACTCAACAGTTGTAAGCTTTTGCTGAAGCATCTGGCTATTCAGGCCCAGAGGATCCTCCACATTGAAGGGGCCACCAAAGAGGGTACGACTGGCCCATCTTGCACTCTGAGTCCCAAGCAACATACAGCTGGTTGGCCACAGGATGACTTGATTGACAGGCTGATTCACCTCAGTTACCACCGCCATCACGTGGTTCTCTCCCCACGGGGTACCCTCAGACGTCTTGCTGAGGGTACCCAGTAGGTACCCCGCGGGGGGAGAACCACGTGATGGTGGTGGTAACTGAGGTGGGCTGATTATCAAGGAAGTCAGCAAGAATAGCAAGAGTGTGGATTGGGCCATGACATACTGTGTTGCATGCAGTGATGAGCTTGCATATTGGAACACTGGCCAAATTAGGGAACATGCTGCACATAAATGCAAGGCAAGTTTCTGCCCGCAATATATAAGAGCTCCACTGACCACTTTGGCAGACAATGAGCAACATATTCCCCATCCCTTACCAGGAGGTGCATGAGAAATTGGCTGCAAAAGCTCAGGGGAAGGGCACACTACCAAAGATTCACACCGTACAGAAGACTGCTGCTGTCTTGCCAATTACAGCTCCTGGCAGTACAACACCCAATGCGCAGGGGTGTGACAATCAACCCAAAACAAAGTCGAAAAGAGAAGTGAATTCGAAGACTGGAGAATACAACCAAGTAGCTACAGTATTTATACCCAAGTCCAGTCTGAGTCATATCTACAACTAATGAGTCATAAGGCTATGTACCGCATGGAGCGCTGGTCATGGGTTGTAGTAGAACCTTCCAGAGCATATGTCGCGCAGCCTTGAATCGATAAAGATAATCCCTAGACTCCTAGCCTGGACCGTCAGATGCCGTGATCTGTGATAAGATAATCCGTGCTGAGATAAGATAAGATGGTCGATGATAAGATGAAAAAGTGGCCAAACTATGACATTACCCCCTCTCTAGGGTCGATGTCCTCATCAACTGGGCCAATGGGCGTGAAGACGTTTTTGTAGGGGTCGAATAGTTGTCATTGGGGATATGGATGGTGCTCCACTTGGGGTTTGTAGCGGTGAATGAGATAGTCCCAATGTCCGGCTTCAAGTGTTGGCAGGAGGTGAATACGTGTGTCTGGGTTTGATTGTTTCCTCTGCCAGTCGCTCAGGACGTCCTTTGCGTGGGTAAGGTGACATGATGGTTCCCAGGTATTTTTTGCTATGTGGCCATCCCTTCCATTTGACCAAGTACTGCTTTCCTCGGCCAATGTTCCGTTCCTTCACAATTTCCTTGACTTCCCACTCTTCTGCTCCTCCAATCATCTTGGCTATGGGTCTCTTCTCTTGGCGATGGGGGGGTGGTTCATGATAGGGTGTCAACAGTGACTCGTTGAACACCGGGTGTCTCCGGTCCGTGTCTGGCAGATCCAGCTTCCATGCGGCTGCTCCAACCTTCTCCAATATCTTGTATGGTCCCAATCTCTTGTTGCTCATCTTCTTTGATGGTCTATCCATCTCAATATTGTCCCCTTCTATGTACACCTTCATTCCAACCTTCAACTCCGGAACTTCTTTTCTTTGTTTATCATAGTATTTTTTCATTTTTTCTTTTGCTTTTTCTAGTGCTGCTTTTGCTTCGTCTTGTATTTCTTTGATTCTTTTTACAAATTCCTCCGCCGACTCGTTCCTTGACTCCATCCGTTGCTCCACTCCCTTCCACGGGTGATATCCGTGATTCGCATAGAAGGGCAATATTTTGGTAGACGCGTTCATCTTGTCGTTGTATGCGAACTCCGCCATTCCCAGCCACTCCAACCAGTCCGTCTGATGGTAATTGACGTAGATGCGGAGATAATGCTCGATCTCCTGATTCATGCGTTCTGTCTGCCCATCCATGATCAGGTGATATGCGGTCCCCGGGTTCATTTCCACGCCCAACATCTGATTTGTCTCCCTCATGAAGCCCTTGAGGTAACGCGAATCCCTGTTGGTGATGATCTTGCGAGGGATCCCGTGGTAGCGGAAAACTCGGTCCCTGGTTAATCGTGCCACTCCTTTGCTGCTGATGTCAGTACTAATTGGTTCGACATGGATCATTTTGGTGAAGGTGTCACACCACACATGAATTGCGTCATACCCGTTACTGACCGGCAAGGGTCCGATCTGATCCATGGAGATGATTTCCCACGGCGCGTTTGGGACTGCATGCAGGTGTAAACTCCCTGTCCTTGCTCTCCTGGTCTTGGTCTGCTGGCACGCCTCGCACGTCTGGATGTATTTCCGGATTTGGTTTCCCATCCTTGGCCACCAGTAATTCCTTTCCACCATCTCCTGCGTTCGGTTGATCCCAGCGTGTCTGACCAAAGGTGTGTCGTGGTGTAGCCCAATGATCTTGTCCCGCAGCTCCTCGTCCCTTGGTACGTAGAGCTTCCCATGGTACGTGATGAGCCCATCTTCCTTTTTCCATCTGGCAAGTGACTTCTCCAAGGCCGCTTTGACGCTTCCGTCAATTGATCAAGTGGCCTTCATCCCATCAATTAGCTGCTGATCTTGCCCCTCGAATGTAACTTCTTGTGATCGGAAGAATTCAGGCTTCAGCAAAGTGACATCCTTGTTGTCGTTCTTGCCCTGATCGTGATCCGCTCATCGAGATAAGAGATCTGCCTTGTGGTTGAGTGCGCCAGGCCGGTGTTGTAAGGTGAAATCAAACTCTGCCAACTCTGTGATCCATTGTGCTTGCCGTCGATTGAGTTTCTGTGGCTTCCAGAAGTACTCAAGATTCTGATGATCAGTGAAGATCTCAAATGTTTGCATGGCTCCCAGGAGTAACTGCCTCCATTCATCCAATGATAGCATGATTGCAAGCATTTCTTTGTCGTAGATCTCGTGATTTCGCTTGGTTTCAGTCAATGCATGCAAAATAAATGCAATTGGGTGCCAAATGCCATCTTGGTTTTGGCTCAAAACAGATCCTGTTGCCCCTTCCGAAGCATCGGCTTCCAGACGATATTGGCCGGTGTCATTTGGCAGTGCTAAGACCGCATCCTCCGCAGTCGTGTCAATGGCTTGGCGACCTCTGCATATCCCCGGACAACGCGCCGATAGAAGTTGGTGAACCCCAGGAATGCTCAGACTTGTTTGACACTTTTTGGTTCAGGCCATTCCATCACGCCCTTGATCTTGACTGGGTCCATCCGCATCAAATTGTGTCCAATAATTACCCCCAGATGTTCGATCTCTGTGCGTTTGAACTTGCACTTTTCGGGTTTCAGGTACAACTTGTGGTTTTGGAGCAATTTGAGTACTTGTTTTGTGATCCACCGATGTTTGTCCAAGTTCTCTGTGAAGATCAGTATATTGTCAAGATAGACTACCACATGACCATTGTTGATCAGTTCTTGGAGTATGTCGTTCATCATGTTTTGAAAGGTTGCCAGGGAATTTGTGAGACCAAAGAACATGACCAAGGGCTTGTACAGTCTGCGGTTTGTGCAGAATACAGCCTTCCACTCGTCGCCCTCTTTGATCTGTACGTTGTTGTATCCCCACTGGATGTCAAGCTTGGTGAAGAACTTGGCACCGCATAGATTATGGACCAGTTCAGAGATCAGCGGCAGTGGGTATCGATTTTGGATTGTCATCTCATTCAGCTCCCGATAATCTTGGATGGGGTGTAGCAAACCATCTTTCCTCTTGACAAAGAAGAATGCTGATGCCATGGGTGATTTTGATGGCCTGATCCATCCGCTGGCCAGGTTCTCTTGTAAGAACTCATTGAGTTTGACCTATTCATTTCGTGATAACAGGTACACCTTGCAGTCCACTGCTTTGGAACCAGGTTTGAGCTCAATTGCATGATCCCATGCCCGTTGGTCCGGTAGCGAGTCGAACGATTTCCTGATATTGATCCGGAATCTTTCCCTTGGTCATCCTCTCCTTCTCCTTTTCCGCTTCTTCTGCAAACTTCTGTGCCGGTGTTTCCTTCAGCCGTAGATCCACTTCCTTCCCAAAGTCGACCAGCAGGATCAATTCTCCTTCTTCCAGATCCGCTGCGCCTGTGTCCAGGTTGATAGCATCCATGTTGATCATTGCTTGGTGCTCCTTGTGACCCCTCATGTGACACCGCGATGGGCATGGGCTGAATCTCATTGTCTGCTCCTGCCAGTCCACCTCAGGGTTGTGTTCCATCAGCCAGTCAAGACCAATGAAGATCCGGGCTTTCCCTAGACACATCAAAAGGAACGTGAGTGTCTCCACATGAGGGCCAATTCTCATCCTTAAGTTGACATAGTGCGTGATCCAACCACTGATGTTTTTGGTGTTGTCAGCGTTACGAGCCACAATGGGTTGCAGAATTTCTTGGATATCCAGTTTCTCTGCCCGTGCATAGTCGGTATCGATGCAACAGGTACTACAACCACTATTGAGTAGCGCCTTGACTCCGTGCGTTTTCCCTGAGTCCAGACCCGTGATCTGGACATATACGTCCATTGAGTGCCTCTTCCTTTCGGCCTGGTAGCTGCACAATTCCTGCGCCAATCTGCTGGGCTGATGACCCTTCTGCTTCTCAGCCGCCAATTTCCTCTGGACGGCATCTGGCACCCTGGTGCGTTTGGGTGCTTCTGGAACCTTGATTTTGGCAGATTTCTTAGGCGCTTCCTCCTTTTTCAAGGATCGAGCCTCTGGAGTGATGCTCCCCTTTTCGGTCTTTGTTGACGTGGTTTCTTCTCCACGAGCCATAAATACGTAGAAGTCCAATAATTTATCTGCAGCTGCTGTTTTCTGATCCTTTTTATCTTGTAAATATTTTCTATTTAGAGCTATTTTTTCCTTGCGTTCTTTTTCCATCTTGGCAACAAGAAAATCGTGAATATTAGTATGTATGATTGTCACATAATTCAAAGACTGGAGAATACAACCAAGTAGCTACAGTATTTATACCCAAGTCCAATCTGAGTCATATCTACAACTAATGAGTCGTAAGGCTATGTACTGCATAGAGCGCTGGTCATGGGTTGTAGTAGAACCTTCCGGAGCATATGTCGCACAGCCTTGAATCAATAAAGATAATCCCTAGACTCCTAGCCCGGACCGTCAGATGCCATGATCCATGATAAGATAATCCGTTGATAGGCTGGCTACCAGATGCGCTCTGCACCAACTCTGTAAGGGCGTATTTTTGCACTTTTTACAGAGTTTACTCTTGAACCATTCGGTGTATCGTGTCGCGGTTGACAGTGTTGCGCTCAGTAGGACTTATGGGTCTACTGCCCAGTCGACGACTGTGGATAGTGTCGATGATAGCAAGGCAGTCAGACCACTACTGTGGAACTGGTCTTATGAGTCTACACCAGGCTCAGGGCCATTAGTGACGAACGCTTGGACCGCGACCATTCCCCAAAAAGGGATCTGTCGTTGCGTCGACTTCTCAAAAAGGGTCATTCTCTGCAGATGGGAACTTGGGCTGAAGGGCTGAGCAAGGCGCGACGTCCTCAATAATAGAACTACTACTGGACAGGACTTGGCGTTACGAGACTTAAACCATCTTGTTGCGGCAACTCCCGGTTTTGGGTTGGACGTTTCCTCAGATCATGCCACGACGACGACTTGTCACATGTCAGGATCCATTCAATCACGGGACACTGTGGACGCGTCGCGGTGACACTTCCAAGTGTCACGGCGAGTCGCGCCCATACCCAAACACACTAAAATCAACACGGCTAGACCCGTGAACCGAGCCATGTGGGGGACGACTGGCGCGCCTAGGGCCATACGGCTTCTTGGGGCGCCCACGTTGGTCTCACATGCCAAGACATACCCGTTGGCCAATCCAGCACGTCGTATTCCAAAAGTATGACGCGGTGGGTTGACCCACATCAAAAGTATCATATGGACTATGGGGCGGGGTCCTGATCACTCAGGACCTGTCCGATCGTTCAACTTTTCAATTACCCTAAAAGGCAACCGATCTTAGATAGCGTAGCTACTATGCAGTTGTACAAGACTTTACTAAGCATTGTTGTAGACAGTATAAGTAGCACGTTGTTTCTTTGTATTAGAAAGCTTTCCCCCGGACTGTGAATCACTCTCATTTCAGATTGTTTTGTACAATTTGCGTGTCGCGTGATTCCACCCTAAGAAGTTCTGCTACCCCTGCCCGGTCGCGACGAGTTGCTCCCTGAGCACTTGTAGCTACTGTGATTTGAGTTTTGAGCTGAGAAATCAGAAAGTCGGATTCGCCGCATCTGGTTTAGTCGCGGCATTTAGTGTCGTCGCCTTCGGGCTTTGTTGAGATCGTTCCACACCTCTAGCTTGGCAGTGCGTCGACTAGTTGTGCTCGGGTTGTTTTGGTCAGTTGGCAGTGCGTCGACTTGAGAACTTTGGTTCCACACCTCTTGCTTGGCAGTGCGTCGACAAGTTGTGCTCGGGTTTTGGACATTGGATATTGGCTGTTAGTTGGCAGTGCGTCGACGCGGCATTTTGGTTTACTAGTTGGCAGTGTGTCGACTCAGTACTTTTGGTTGTGTCAGTTGGCAGTGCGTCGACTCAACATTTGGGTTTACTAGTTGGCAGTGCCTCGACTCAGTATATTGGTTGTACCGGTTGGCAGTGCGTCGACTTGATACTTGGGCTTTGCGTCACCATCTAGGCGCTGTCGCTACAAGGGATCTTAATACTTTGTATTAAGCTCTGACTTGTTATATTGTTGGTTGTGGATTGGATTAGTGTTGGTTGTGTTTGTATAGAAGATATTGGTTGAGACACCATTGTTTGCTATATATAAATTCTTGTCGTCGACTCCGTCTCCGCGACTATTGGATCTGCGTCTATTGAGAGTTGTGATACTGGTGCTCTGTCCACCCCGAAGCCCTCGCATCTTTCACACACTGAGAAGCTGATTACGAGGAGTGTGAACGTGTTTATATTTGGGTTTACTTTCATAGTAGATTCACTTGTGAGCACGCCCTCAGCATTTCACCGCCTCTACAACACTGGCGTTCCCCTTCCCAAGGCATATGGTGCCTTCAAGAACTGGTGTGTCAACATTGAGGCAAACGCTCTACGCGATCAGCTGCGCAAAGCATCGCATGCGCAATCCGCACCACGACCGCCGCCCCAATTCCGCCCGCAGGTAGCCCCAATGACACCTGCACCCGCCCCGGCCCGGCCCGCTGCCAACGAACCGGTTCCGATGGAAATCGATTGCACCCACGCCCGCGGCCGCAATATCATCTGCTACAACTGTCAGCAGCCCGGGCACATTGCGCGGAACTGCCCGGAGCCCAAGAAGAAGCGCACGTTCTTCAATCGGGCCACAATGCTGGAAGAAATCGAGAACGGGGACAAGGACAACGAGTTCCTGAAGGAGATTGCCGAGAAGCTGCGCGAGAAGGGTTTTTGAAGCGCTCCACTCCTCTAGCCAAGGAGGGGGAGCGTCCGGACTATGGACGATTTTCTGGACTTGTTTCGATTAAAGATATGAACGATTCTCCTCATACATACACGATCTCAGACTCCCTACGTACTAATATTCATGATTTTCTCGTCGCTGATATGGAAAAAGAACGACAAAGGAAAATAGCTTTAAATAGAGAGTATTTACAGAGTAAAAAGGATCAAAAAACTGCGGATAAATTAATTTTGGACTCCTACGTATTTATGGCTCGTGGAGAAGGAACCACGTCAACAAAGACCGAAAAGGGGAGCATTGCTCCGGAGGCTCAATCCTTGAAAAAGGAGGAAGCGCCCAAGGAATCTGCCGAAATAAGGGTTCCAGAAATACCCAAACGAACGAGGGTGCCAGATGCCGTTCAAAGGAAATTGGCGGCCGAGAGACAGAAGGGCCCGCAGCCCGGCAGACTGGCGCAGGAATTGCGCGACTACCAGGCCAAAAGGAAGAGACATTCGATGGACGTATATGTCCAAATCACGGGTCTGGACTCAGGGAAAACGCGCGGAGTCAAGGCGCTGCTCGATAGTGGCTGCAGTACCTGTTGCATCGATACCGACTACGCACGGGCGGAGAAGTTGGATATTCAAGAGCTTCCACAACCCATTGTGGCCCGTAACGCCAACAACACCGAGAACATCAGCGGTCGGATCACGCATTACGTTGACCTAAGGATGAGAATCGGCCCTCACGTGGAGACACGCACATTCCTTCTGACGTGTTTAGGAAAAGCTCGGATCTTCATTGGTCTTGATTGGCTGACGGAACACAACCCCGAGGTGGATTGGCAGGAGCAGACCATGAGATTCAGCCGATGCCCAGAGCGGTGTCACATGAGGGGTCACGAGGAACATCAAGCAATGATTGACATGGATGCAATCGACCTGGACACGAGCACGCCGGATCTGGAAGAGGGAGAATCGATCCTGTTGGTCGATTTTGGGAAGGAAGTGGATCTGCGGCTGAAGGAAACGCCGGCGCAGAAATTCGCAGAAGAAGCGGAAAAAGAGAAGGAGAGGATGACCGAGGGGAAGATTCCGGATCAATATCGGGAATTTGTCAAAGTATTCGCCAAGGAATCATTTGACTCGCTACCAGACCGACGGGCATGGGATCACGCAATCGAGCTCAAACCTGGTTCCAAAGCAGTGGACTGCAAGGTGTACCCATTATCATGCAATGAACAAGTCAAACTCGACGAATTCTTACAAGAGAACCTGGCTAGTGGACGGATCAGGCCATCAAAATCACCCATGGCATCAGCATTCTTCTTTGTCAAGAAGAAGGATGGCTCCCTACGCCCCGTCCAAGACGATCGGAAGCTGAATGAGATGACGATTGGGAATCGATACCCGCTGCCGCTGATATCCGAACTAGTCCATAATCTATGTGGCGCCAAGTTCTTCACAAAACTTGACATCCAGTGGGGATACAACAACGTACGGATCAAAGAGGGTGACGAGTGGAAGGCTGCATTCTGCACAAACCGAGGGCTGTACGAGCCCTTAGTTATGTTCTTCGGTCTCACAAATTCCCTGGCAACGTTCCAAAACATGATGAACGACATACTCCAAGAGTTGATCAACGAGGGTCACGTGGTAGTCTATCTGGACGATATACTGATCTTCACAGAAAACTTGGACGAACATCGGCAGATCACAAAACGAGTGCTCGAATTGCTCCAGAAACACAAGCTATACCTGAAGCCTGAAAAGTGCGAGTTCGAACGCACGGAAATCGAATATTTGGGTGTAATTATTGGACACAATTCGATGCGGATGGACCCAGTCAAGATCAAGGGTGTGATGGAATGGCCCAAACCAAAGAGTGTCAAACAGGTCCAAGCTTTCCTCGAATTCACAAACTTCTATCGGCGCTTTGTCCGGGGATACGCGGAGGTTGCCAAGCCATTGACACGGCTGACAGGGAAGGCAGGATGGTCATGGGGTGCAGATGAGCATGCGGCATTTGATGGATTGAAGAAGAGAATCGCGGAGGATGCGGTCCTAGCACTGCCAAATGACACTGGCCAATATCGTCTGGAAGCCGATGCTTCGGAAGGGGCAACAGGATCAGTTTTGAGCCAAAACCAAGACGGCATTTGGCGCCCAATCACATTTATTTCGCACGCACTGACCAAAACCGAGCGAAATTACGAGATCTACGACAAAGAAATGCTTGCAATCATGCTATCATTGGATGAATGGAGGCAGTTACTCCTGGGAGCCATGCAAACATTTGAGATCTTCACTGATCATCAGAATCTTGAGTACTTCTGGAAGCCACAGAAACTCAATCGACGGCAAGCACAATGGATCACAGAGTTGGCAGAGTTTGATTTCACCTTACAACACCGGCCTGGCGCACTCAACCACAAGGCAGATCTCTTATCTCGATGAGCGGATCACGATCAGGGCAAGAACGACAACAAGGATGTCACTTTGCTGAAGCCTGAATTCTTCCGATCACAAGAAGTTACATTCGAGGGGCAAGATCAGCAGCTAATTGATGGGATGAAGGCCACTTGATCAATTGACGGAAGCGTCAAAGCGGCCTTGGAGAAGTCACTTGCCAGATGGAAAAAGGAAGATGGGCTCATCACGTACCATGGGAAGCTCTACGTACCAAGGGACGAGGAGCTGCGGGACAAGATCATTGGGCTACACCACGACACACCTTTGGTCAGACACGCTGGGATCAACCGAACGCAGGAGATGGTGGAAAGGAATTACTGGTGGCCAAGGATGGGAAACCAAATCCGGAAATACATCCAGACGTGCGAGGCGTGCCAGCAGACCAAGACCAGGAGAGCAAGGACAGGGAGTTTACACCTGCATGCAGTCCCAAACGCGCCGTGGGAAATCATCTCCATGGATCAGATCGGACCCTTGCCGGTCAGTAACGGGTATGACGCAATTCATGTGTGGTGTGACACCTTCACCAAAATGATCCATGTCGAACCAATTAGTACTGACATCAGCAGCAAAGGAGTGGCACGATTAACCAGGGACCGAGTTTTCCGCTACCACGGGATCCCTCGCAAGATCATCACCAACAGGGATTCGCGTTACCTCAAGGGCTTCATGAGGGAGACAAATCAGATGTTGGGCGTGGAAATGAACCCGGGGACCGCATATCACCTGATCATGGATGGGCAGACAGAACGCATGAATCAGGAGATCGAGCATTATCTCCGCATCTACGTCAATTACCATCAGACGGACTGGTTGGAGTGGCTGGGAATGGCGGAGTTCGCATACAACGACAAGATGAACGCGTCTACCAAAATATTGCCCTTCTATGCGAATCACGGATATCACCCGTGGAAGGGAGTGGAGCAACGGATGGAGTCAAGGAACGAGTCGGCGGAGGAATTTGTAAAAAGAATCAAAGAAATACAAGACGAAGCAAAAGCAGCACTAGAAAAAGCAAAAGAAAAAATGAAAAAATACTATGATAAACAAAGAAAAGAAGTTCCGGAGTTGAAGGTTGGAATGAAGGTGTACATAGAAGGGGACAATATTGAGATGGATAGACCATCAAAGAAGATGAGCAACAAGAGATTGGGACCATACAAGATATTGGAGAAGGTTGGAGCAGCCGCATGGAAGCTGGATCTGCCAGACACGGACCGGAGACACCCGGTGTTCAACGAGTCACTGTTGACACCCTATCATGAACCACCCCCCCATCGCCAAGAGAAGAGACCCATAGCCAAGATGATTGGAGGAGCAGAAGAGTGGGAAGTCGAAGAAATCGTGAAAGAGCGAAACGTCGGCCGAGGAAAACAGTACTTGGTCAAATGGAAGGGATGGCCGCACAGCGAGAACACCTGGGAACCATCACGTCACCTTACCCACACGAAGAAGGTCCTGAGAGATTGGCAGAGGAAACAATCCAACCCAGACACACGCATTCGCCTCCTGCCAACTCTCGAAGCCGGACATTGGGATTATCTCATCCATCGCTACAAACCCAAAGACGAGCGCCTTCCATATCCCCAGCGACAACTCTTCGATCCCTACGAAAACGTCTTCACGCCCATCGGCCTAGTCGATGAGGACATTGACCCTAGAGAGGGGGTAATGTCATAATTCGACCCTTTTTCATCTTATCATCGGCGATCTTATCTTATCTTGGCACGACTTATCTTATCACGGATCACGGCATCAGACGGTCCGGGCTAGGGGTTCCAGGGGTTATCTCTATCGATTCGAGGCTGCGCGACATATGCTCTGGAAGGTTCTACTACAACCCATGACCAGTGCTCCATGCGGTACATAGCCCTATGACTCATTAGTTGTAGATATGACTCAGACTGGATTTGGGTATAAATACTGTAGCTATTTGGTTGTATTCTCCAGTCTTCGAATTCACTTCTCTTTTCGACTTTGCTTTTGAGTTGATTGTCACATATAGACTCATAAGACCAATTCCACAGTAGTGGTCTGACTGCCTTGCCATTGTCAACACCATCCACAGTTGTTGACTGGGCAGCAAACCCTTGAGTCCTACTGAGCACAACACTGGCACCCGCAACATGATACACCAAATGGTTCAAGAGTAAACTCTGTAAAAGGGCAAAAATACACCCTTATAGAGTTGGTGCAGAGCACACCTGGTAGCCAGCCTATCACCGGACCATGTGATGCCATGATGCATGATAAGATAAGATGTGTTGAGATAAGTTAAGATGCTCAATAAAATGATGGGAAAGTGATTGAATTATGACAGGTGCAAAGCAAATCTGATAGCCAGCTTATCACTAGTGGCTCTTCACGTATTGAGGTTGCTAGGCAAATTTTCTGGAACCTTCTATACTCTTTCTGTTCAATGAATGTTATCAAGCCAGCATGCAGCCCAAACCTATGAAATTAGATAGCCTGCTTCACAGTTTGAAATTGTAATGCATGACACTCAGTACATTTTTTATTTCTCCACCACTGTCTCAAGTAATGCTTAGTGGAGCATTTCACCCATCCAGTTTTTGTACAGTAGATCACTGTACATGTAGTTTCGTGGTTGTGTTGATGGTCAGGAGGCAGTGGACAGTGCAAACCATCACTGAAGAGGAACATGACCACTCGAAAATGTTTGATTTCTCTTACTTAGTTTAGTAGTTTTGTGTGTTTGTGCAACAGCCTTTGAGGATGGGAATTGTTTCTGAATATTCTACAATTTTTGCATGCTTTTTGCATAAGATTCTCACTTGTTTAATTTGAACGAGCTTATCTCTATGCGTTATTCATATTTCCAGAATTTGTACACTTTCACATGTATGTGAAAATTAGACATTACAGCCGTAAGCGTTTTTCACATGTGAACATCTCACGGAAAAGGTTTTCACCCAGCGCTAACCTCTTCACGCTTACAATCACGAGGCCGACGGAATATTCGAATTGCTCTGACAATTACGACACTAGCGTAGTGTCAAGGACGGCCGTTCCGTTCTGGCGGTGCTCATTTCACCGCGATAGCACGACGTGCTTACATTCTAACCGATGGTTTCGTCAGCCAGGAAGCTATGACTATCGATTATATACGTCAACGGGCCGCCGGTTCATTGCTCATCAGATCAGGTCTAAGTTCTCACAGCACCACGCTCTACCATCTGCGAAATATGGCTGATGTTAAAGCCGCAGAACCTATTAAAAGACATGAATCTTGGTCATCTCTTAAATTAAACATCAAAAGGTTCGTAATGGAAAAAATGTGCAACCAGATAAAATGCAGCGGCGTTCGGACTACTGGGCAACTCAGCGCACACCCCATTTAACACCATGACCTCTACTCCAAAGCTCTTCCAACCTATCGTTGTTGGCGAAATGCAGCTCAAGCACCGCGTTGTGATGGCGCCGTTGACACGATTCCGTGTAGACGACAACCATGTCCCACTTTCCCATGTGAAGGAATATTATTCGCAACGCGGGAGCGTTGAAGGAACTCTCCTGGTGACTGAAGCCTGCTACATCGATGCACGTGCTGTGGGCGTCCCAAACGTCCCCGGTATCTGGTCCGAGGCTCAGATTGCTGCGTGGAAAGAGGTGCGCGGGTTCGCCGACGTCGATCTTGGAAAATCTGACGCCATTTCTAGGTTACTGAGGCGGTTCATGCCAAAGGGTCGTTCATCTACCTTCAGCTGTGGGCCCTTGGACGCGCTGCTCATCCTGCTGCCCTGGGCGAGAACCCTTACGTCTCTGCCTCCGACATCCCGCTTAGCGACCGGCCAGCGGATGAGATCAAGCCTCGCCCCCTAACGAAGGCAGAGATCTCCGAATATGTGCGTCTCTTTGCACGTGCGGCTGTCAACGCGGTGGAAAAGGCAGGATTCGACGGAGTGGAGTTGCACGGCGCGAACGGATATTTGATCGACCAGTTTCTACAGGACGTCTCCAACGCCCGCTCAGACGAGTACGGAGGGAGTGTCGAGAACCGGGCCAGGTTTGCCCTGGAGATTATGGACGCTGTCGTCGCCGCAGTGGGTCAGAAGAAGTCGGCGATCCGTCTGAGCCCATGGAATGTCTTCAATGGTGAAGTCAGCATTCGACGTAAGAGGCTAATTCTGAATCCCATTCGAATCTAGACATGAGCATGAAGAACCCGAAGCCCACCTTCTCATATCTTGTGAAACAGCTCAAAGCCCGTCACCCAGAGTTGGCGTACATACATGCTGTCGAGCCCCGAGCTAAAGGATTCGAAGTGCTGGACGACTCGAGTTTGCCTGAGGGAATGTCAAACGATTTCATCCGTGACATCTGGACATCCCCCGACAGTGCTAGACGCCTTATTTCTGCCGGCGGATACAGCCGGGAGGCTGCCATCAAGGACGGTGAAAGGGACGAACTCGTCGCTTTTGGCAGACAGTTCATTTCAAACGTAATTCTTTCGTTGAAACCGCTCGATGACTGTCGCTAACCGTTCACCAGCCCGACCTGCCGGCCCGACTACTCCATGATTACCCTCTGAACCCTTATGATCGCACAACGTTCTACACCACAGGAACCCTGGACCCGAAAGGATACACCGACTATCCGTTCTATGACTCGAAATCCCCACTTTAGAGGTTTCGCGCCGAACGGTAGTACCTGAATGAAATAATCTCATCGTAGATATGCTCTCCACCCAGTTTTGATTAAAGATACAGATTTTCAAAATTGTGCAAAGATGCTCCTGAGGCAGGTCGGTACTGATGAGCATGTTCTCGAATGGTCGATATGAATTTTCACGCGCAAAATGATCTTCACCTCACCGTGAATGGCCCTGTGTGAAGGGAGATGCCTTGCTTTACGCGTTACGCACCACGTATCGGAAATGTACCGAGAAGCGAGTGCGGTCCGCGCGCTATGCTGGACTGGAACCGGATGTGCGCACGGGATTAATATTGCGGGATGGTTTCACGCTATTTCGCTCAAGATACGACATCCCCGGCCGCTCCTCCCGTTTATCACATGCAGCCATTCATTCCAGTATCCATTGCCGTGACGGCGAGTGCGAAGAGTATTAGAGCCCGCCCGTGGCCGAGGCCGCTCACAGCACAACTAGCAGCGCTATCCCACTCTCCTGGCCCAGCATGTACACATTCGCTGTCATTCTCGCGGCAATTTGCCACATCATAATCGCAACATTGAAGGGATATGGGATCTCTCCGAGCGCAGTCCAGGTAACATCGTCTATGGCGTCGATGGACTCCAAGATCGGGTACGTCAGCGTTGGGAAAAACTACACAAAGTACGGGAAGCTCGGGAACGCCCGTGGACCGGCGTTAACAGCGATTATTGCTGGGGGAGTGTCTATAGCGACGGATCATGTTGTTGCGGAAGACATCAATGGCTACGACCTGAGTCTTATTTCACGGCCACAAAACTCACCAACTGATCCATCCGTGCTTGCAGCTGGCCAGCATGAAGAGGAAAGACGGAGATTACTCGAAGTGCGCGCCTAGTTCCCTTCATGAGACGCTGGATATGACCATTGCCTAAGCCCATGTATTTCCGTGCAACGCAGACTCCCACACCGCGTTGAACGCGAGCCTCAAGAGTTTCAATCTGCTCGATATTATGCAAAACAGAGCTTTCTCGGCTTTTAACTTTACACTCATTGCACGCGCCGCTTCGAGAAGAACAAGTACACACGCGCAGTGAACACACGCACTCGTTGCAACATCATAAATGCTCTTCAACAGATAGGAATTAAGTAGCCAAATGAGATTGTCAATTTGTCTGAACAGGATTCATATTCTCCATGTAGCTGGTTCCGTGGTTGTTTTCTGAATGGATGCCAGATTGTAGAACTCCCCGGCCATTCTCAAGTGACTGGAAGACGATTATGTTTCCTCCCTTGGTGTACCCGTTCGCTTCCAAGGCAAAAAACCCGAGGTCCCCTTCGTAGGTCGGTTCATGCTGGTCAACCGCGCGCAAAATGTGCTCTTTCTTGCTTGCCCAGTCGAATCCATTAACCGCACCAACTCTACGTACATGAAGAAGGGGGAATGAATAGGGCCTCGCGCCACACACGTGCGGCAGCCCGTTGTGCATTGCCGGAACAGGATTGGAGGATTCTAGATGTGGTCATGGCATCACGTAGGACAAGGTGTGAACGGATATGCTCCGCTTCGATGTGGGGTTGTATGAAAGTCGGAGCGGCCGAATACCCGCTGAATGTGAAACTTCCTCGAGGAAAACGAACGAAAGAAGGTTCTTTGCTTCAATGCGGACCCCAATGAGGTGAGCTGGAATGAATTCAGCGCACCCAGCTGACTGGATTCGACGTATAGGTCTGCTGTTGAAGCGAGTATGAAATACCAACGCCGCTGTTGATTGCGTTCTTAGTCTTCGATACTGTCTGATCCATCGCCCACGGAAGGTCCGCGCCTTCTCTGAAGAACCGCACTTCGATTGTGTGCAATTGGACGCACGTTCGCACTCGTAAGTGGTTTGAATGAGTGCAGGGGACTAGTATTCATAATTGACTCGGGTTTTAATCTACCCCCGGTATAAAAAGCGCGGCACAGACGTCTTGTATAATTCGCACTCGACACGTCCGAGAGCTCTTATCCATATCTTCTTTTACCTCGCAATGGCTATCATCTTCGTCCCCATGATCATCGCCTGGCTCGCGACCACCGTCTCGAATGGCCCGCAGATTGCAGTCACCCCAACCGGGATCCAGGTCACCCGTGCTCAGGGCGTCCAAGGCTACAACACCTGGGCATAGCTCAACCCCACCTCAGCCCAAGTGCTCGATCCAATCAAGATCGATACCTTTCAGTGCGATCTCAAGATCAACTCGATAACTGTACGTCCTATTTCCCATCTAGTTTTGGATATCAGGCAGTACTCACTCTCTCCAGGCTGCTACCGAATTCAAGCTCGAGCTGCCGAGTGCCGTCATCCTGCGCTGCACCGCGCCGTATGCAGGCGCCCGCTGACACGCCTGCAGCGGGTGTGAGCACGAAAATCAACCGGAGAGGTGGGGTGTGAATATAATCAACAGTGCTGCTCAACAGACAGCCGCAAGGGTTGTTGTTTTGCGAGGGTGTCCCAACAAGGATCAGGACTCGGGAATATGGTATAAAAAGGCGGCGGGCAACGGCGAGGGCAACAGAGGCGACGGAGACGGTGGAGGCGACGGAGACAATGGAGGCGATGGAGACGATATAGACGGTGAAGAGAGGCGGAATTTTCAGATGCTGAAATAGAGCACTTGGTTTTTGGGGTGAAGAGAACTTGTCTTTGAAGGAATATACCGTAGCTACTTATAGTAAAGTCTCGAATTGATAAAGAACATATTGGGTCCGTGAAAAACACCTAACTACCCGGTAAGAAGCGCTCCAAGCATCCCAAAAGTGCCTGTTCCACATGTAAGTCTATAAAATACATGTTTCACCTTATTGGTCCCATATGGATGTGTCTGTTCGGTAAAATAATTCCCCAATGATGCCAATCTGAAACATAGAAAGGACTAGCAAATACTCTGGGCAGCGTGCAGCCGTGTGGCCAGCAAGCCGAGAGATAAATCAGCCACCAAATGCTGTGCACCTTAATGCAGCAGTGCCACACTGATCGCTTACGAAGCCAGGGCGTGTCAACGCTTGTCATCTCCCTCCAACTGAAAATCTGACTGTCCTCAGTCAGCTTCCGGCGCACGAGAGCCTCAACAGGGCGAGTTTGAGAAGGGCGATTATATGGATGGGTTCAGGGTGTAGCGGGTGCATGGGGGGGGTCAGAGTTGGTCTTCACCTTTGCCCAGCAGCTCCGGATCGCTTTCTTCGTCTTCTGGATCGGCCAAGATCGACTCCTCGAGCTCACGTAACCGTTCTGTCGAGATGTCCAGCAAGTCTTCGAGAGGTGGGATTGGGATCTTGTGTCGCGCAAAGTATGGGATGACTCGAAATGCGGCAATAGGGCGGTGGAAGACAGAGCCATCGAGCTCGCAGAGAATGTAAGCGCCACCTCTATTCCTTGAGACGACAATCAGGGGTCCAAGATATCGCTTGCGCATTTTGCGGCTTAACGTCTTCTCGATTGCAGTGTTCCGCATCAGGACCAGATCGCCTCGCTGGAAGTTGTAGTCGCGTATTGTATGCGCGTGTTCTCGCTCAAAACGGATCGCCTCCTGGACGCGGGCCTCGAGAACAGCGGAGTGAAGGAACGACAGGTGTTCTCGTCGCTTCTGCAGCGCAATTGCACGACGGGAGATGAGTTCCGTGGTCGATAGCACGGATTCTGGGGCGGGAAGGAGGTAGGTGGCTTCGGATATGTCAAGTGGAAGTAGCGGGTGGGCTCCGGTGACCGCAAAGAAAGGTGAGCAGCCCATCCTTCGTCGAACCGTGACTCTGTCGGCCCAGAAGACGGAATGTGCTGTTGTATGCCATTTTGATTGGACGCCGTCAGCTGCTTTGAACAGGGACTCTCGTACATCAAAATGCGGACGCTCGGACAAGTTAGCCCGGGAGTTGTAGCCGGAAATGCGGATATGTCGGACGTTATACTGCTTTTCCAGGTGCGTCAACGCTCTCACAAATGGGGTGCCATTATCTGTGACGATTTCCACCAGGGTGCCCCAACGGCACAGGATATCCTCGAAAATCCATGCGGCTAGTGTTCTAGCGGTTTCGCGGCGAAGCATACGCCATTCAGGGTAGTGGGTCAACGAACAGCGTCCTTGAACAATGTACCGGAAGCCGCCGCTGGTCGGGAGATGCATGGTGTCCATATACATCTTTGCGAAGATTGGTGCCGGCGTCGAGACCGTCGGAGGTATCAACACTTTTCTAGTTTGACGTTGCTGACACAAATCGCAGGTACGAACAAACCACACGATGTCCTTGGCCATATGCGGCCACCAGAAGCGCTCGGAGACCAAAGAACGGGTCGCATAGAAGCCCTTGTGGCCAACACCGTCGTGGGCCGACTGCATGATGAAAACTCGACGTGCGGGGGGCACCACAAGCTTGTGATGACCATGTGAGTGTTTTCGCCAGAGTGCGCCCTCGCGCAAGAAAAACTCCATGGAGTACCGGACAAACGACTGATAATTGCTGTCAGACATGGCCTGTGGGCGTTTGAGCTTCTCGTGCCAAATTCGGGCTAAATCGACTCGATAATCGGCCAGGAGGGCAGCAGAGGTACGGGGAACATTGTCATAGGACAGGGATGGGTTTTCGTTCTCAGGGGGAGTTAGGACCGCCGCATTCGAGACAAATGTGGTGACCAGGGCATGGGATCGTTGAGGAATATGCAGTGAGTGATTTATCATGTGTACAAAACCATGCACCTGATCGATCCAGTCTTCGAAATCATCCTCCTGTTCTGCTACATCGCCAGGATGTGGGGGCCGTCTGGACAAACCATCCGGTCGGTGTGAAACGCCAGGGACATGGACCAGGGTGAAGTGGAAGGTGAGAATAGCCAAAATCCATCGGTTGATAGTCGCGTTTGGTGCTAAATCAGGATTTGATAGCATACCCTTGATGAATCGCGCGTCGACTTCTACCACGATGTTGCGTAGGCCAATGAGATAGATTTTCCATGCCTTGAGTGCCCGAAACAAGCCGTACAACTCCAGTTTTGGCTGGGAAAATCTCGATTCGCGTTCGTTCAAGGTGATGGAACCGAAGCATGCGTAGAATCGCCGGGCAAGGTTTTGAGGATCACACTGAGCTAGCGTGGCCCCAACGGCAATATACGACGTGTCAACAGAGAGAATGACTGGCGCCGCCGAGTGGTAGTCAAGCGGACGCAGCGCCGGTGAGTTCAGCAAGGCTGCCTTGAGATCCTCTTGAGCGCTGATCTGCTCACTTCCAAAGACAAACGGAGCGTCCTTTCGAGTCAATGCAACAAGTGGATTTGCACGGCGGGCGAAATTACGGATGAACATGCGCACAACGCCCATTGTACCAAGAAAGGCGCGTACTTCGGACAGACTGCTGCACGGTCCCCAATTGACAATCTTCTCGATGCGTGAACTGTCGGGAATACGGCCCTCGTATGTGCAAACATGGCCAAGAACTGTGATCTTCTCAGCGCAGAGGATGGCCTTTGGGCCAGAGAAGGTACCGCCACAATATTTCATGCGCTGTACAATTCGATTGAGGGTCTGAAAATGCTCCCAGACAAAACGCCGAATGCCAGGATTGGCTGGATGTATCTCGTAACCACCGCCGGGGAGCTCGTAACGAGTTGCAGGACCACGGACTGGGCTGTCATCAATGTAGGGAATGGTAAATCGCGGGATTTCAGGTCGCAAAATGTGCGTGACGTCGTCGTGGAAAATTGGGACTGAATTTGACCAACCCATAGGCAGAGTCGTCAAGCGAAGCGCGCCAAAAGGCGACTGGAAGGTAGTCAAATCACGTGAAACCTCTGCTAGCACGCGTTCATCATATCCAACATAGAGATCCAGGATTCCGCCACAAGCACGGCCAGCAAAATGCTCCGCGAGTTGATCGGTGAGTGGTGGAACGCCCGAATGCTGAATGGTCACAGCGTTCAAGGGCTCCAAGCTGTGTACAAGACGCAGACTCGTGCCGTCTTTCTTGACAACGCAAAACCACCTTGATCGGTAAGAGGAATTTGACGGCTCATAGACGCCAGCGTCGATCTTACGCCGGATCAAATCGCAGACCTGATCGTGGATGCCTGGAGGGATTGGGATGTTGCGTTGAACCCACGGGGTGTGCGGGACAACAGGGATGATGACTGGCTGAAAGAAATCAGTGCGGAACTTTCCGCGTTCTGATTCTGTCCATGCAAAACCATCTTGGTGCAGGCACATGAAATGGTGCATGAGCCGGCGTTCTTCAGGCCAAAGAAAGTCCCCAGGGTGAAGGGAATCAATGACGTCGTGACGCTCGTGCGTGTAACGGCCAGTGGGAACAAAGGGGGGCGGATTCGGATCAAGTCTAGGCATGGACGCGAGCGGGTCACCACGGATGTCGCGCACAATACGGAATTCTTCGGGAAGGGTTCCCAGGACGGGGCGTACTTTCTGAGCAACGGGCTTGTACCGTTTCTTCGCGAAAACGTCGACAGGTGAGGCAGAGGAGGACGGGTTGGAAAACGATGTAGATAGATTGTAGAGAGGGACAGGCATGCCGTAGTAACCAGGGAGCGATGAGGACTTGAAAAACCAAGGGGGAGTTGAATCCCCCATAGGAGACTCGGACTCCACTGTAGACAACGGTTGAACGTTCGAATACGCAAACTGGACCGTATCAGAATACGAGCCCAGATTAGTGGAACCTAGAAGATAAAGAAAAGTAAGATCAGTAGAGGAATAGTTCGAGGGAAGCTGAGCCGATGATTTGATCATAAAATCTTGAGGATCGAGTGGATTGGGTATAATGATGAATGCGGTCTCTCCTTGATCAGGGATCAAATCCTCGAGGGCGGAAAATCCTGGATTCGCGGCCGAGAACCACGAGGAACAGTAGCGATTGTTGCAATCTTGCCTGTGTTGGGATCTCGGATTGTGATAGTCTGGTTTTCGTTGGCAAAATTTCGGACAATGCTTTCCGTCAACACGTCGAAAGGACGACCCAATAAGATGTCGTAGGCCGGTTTTCGGACGACGTGGACTTGTAGGTAGAGCGTGATATCATCAAATGCGAACGGAACGTTTCGTGCAAGGCCAAGGGACGGAGAAACCGATCCATTCGCCGACTGCATGCGAAGAACGATGGTGGGATCGTACGAAAGGCCCAATTGGTGGCACACAGCCTCAGACATGGCGATTATCTGGGAGCCGCCATCGATAATAGATTCGACCCGTAGACGGTTGTCTACCACGGGGAGAACCGAGCGGATCGCCGAAGATTCGAGGGAGACCACCAGATCGTCCATAGAGGCGCCCGAGTTGATCATCGTCTCGTAATAGTCCGGAATAACAGTTGCATCAGGTGGCAAAGTCGAATTTGCATACGCAGCAGGCATTGAATCGAGAAATGCGGCGTCTCGCGCATTGTTAGATGCCTGGGCGTCCAGAGGCTCGATTGGCGCACTGTCGGACATGTTTCTATGCGAGAAATCGTCGTAGATGTGGGTTGAGACCGCCGGGGTTTTAGAATCGGCACCAGAGGTCGGAGGAACGCGGCGGCTGGTAGTGGCGTTACTTATACGGGCCCGTACACCAGGAGAGATCGAAAGGATCTCTTCGATCGAGTTTTCGACCTTAGTTCCAAGAATCCGGCCAAAGACAACGTCCTCGTGTTTCGAATCATAAATCGGAGCCACAGAACGGTACGCAGGATCAGTTTTCTTAGCGGGAACGGCCGGAACTCGAGCCCCAACGTTATGGTCACGGGGAGGAGCATACGCAGCATCTTTGGCTTTTGCGTAGGGATGTTCAGGTGCAGTAGCGGGGATAGCAGCCGGAGGACGGGTCACAGGAGCGGGAGTGGGAGCTGGGGCCGGCATACGAGCAGGGGCAGGTGTAGATCGAGCCGCAGGTCGGACTGCTTGTTCCGGAGCTTCGACGCGGTCTCCAGACCGATCCAGTGCAGCACGTGCCTGGGATCGAGTGCGCATTGCCAGGATTTCGCGCTCGAGAGCTTGAATTCGTTCAGATTCTGATAAAGTGAACACTGGAACAGCAGGGGGCTCAACGCTAGAGGACAAGAAATGAGTCGCAACCTCGACCAGATTTTGAGCAACACCCATTTGGCCGGGATTCTGGCGGTGATATTCGTCGAATCGAGCCCGTAGATTGACACCCATGATCCGTCGTGGGATATAAGCGCCGCTGGGCAGGACGACCTGCCCCTCTGTGTTACGCTTACACTTCCCAGCTTGAATATCTTCGTCCACGTGAGGGCATCGAATGATGAAATGTCCGTTTTCACTGCAATAGCTGCAGGTGAGATCCCGAGGAGTCGAATTGACAGTCATTGCCGAAGGAGCTGTTCGAATAGACTGTTGAGCAGCCACTGCCTGGGCAGTGACAGCGGCCTGCGCGGCAAGGACTTTCATTAGTCCATTCATAGACTCGATGAGCTGAGCAATATTCGGCTCAGATTCCTGTTTCACAGGAACAGACGGGGATGGAGACGTTGTTGGCGGCGCTACAGAGCCAAAGGAAGAATCCGCTAGAACGAATTCCATGGCTTCATTCATGTCCGTGATATCGTACGGATCATCTGGGTGAACATCGGGTTTCTTGACTTGGAGACGCTGATGGACACGGGGCCAAAGAGACGAGGCAGAAATGGCGCGACGAAAGGCACGAGACTGCTCAGCCTTTGACAGGCGAGATTTGTCGACCAGGAACTTTGTAATGACCAAAAAGCGACGATAGAATTCGCTGTAATCCACACGTGAAAGGATGCCAATACTGGCGTACTCCCCAATCAAAGCATGCATGTCTGAAAGCGAATAGCGTCGGTCAGCATCAGTGCCAGGGTAGAGTTTCAGGACGGCGGCTTTGAACTGATCGTAGGAGCTGGGAGCCGCAAAAGATTCCAAAGATTCCCAGACTTCTGCATCGTCGAATGGAAGGTAACGGACGGCATGTTTCTTCTTTTCCTGGTCATTGGTGACACCAGCGGCGCCAAAGTGATACTCCAAGTCCGAAAAGAAACGAAGCAGCTCACGGGGCTGCTTGGAATCGAAAATGGGAGCCCCACGGGCACCACGGGGTGGCATAGTAATGTTTGCCGCCATTCTGGGATGAGATGGAGACACGGGGCGCAGGAGGAAATAAGATGAGGCCGAGGACGATTGGGACGAGGACAAGGAGGCCTGGGATGATGATGACGATGACGACGACGTTGTTACTATGAAATGGGCAAGGGTAGGCGAATCTGGATCTACAGGATCCAAGTTGAAATGGTGCGAAAGGGGATGAGGGACTGGGACCAGAAGATCGTCAGAGGACGAATCAGAGTGGTGTGACGCGTCGTTGAGGTTCAGTGGGTTCTGGAAAATATCCCGGAACTCGAGGCGGAGATTTCTATGAGGATTTGGTCGAAGACTGCGGTCCGATCCTGATGCAATGTTGAATTGGAAACCCCTCGCGGTGGGCTCCAAAATGACACGCCTGCAGCGGGTGTGAGCACGAAAATCAACCGGAGAGGTGGGGTGTGAATATAATCAACAGTGCTGCTCAACAGACAGCCGCAAGGGTTGTTGTTTTGCGAGGGTGTCCCAACAAGGATCAGGACTCGGGAATATGGTATAAAAAGGCGGCGGGCAACGGCGAGGGCAACAGAGGCGACGGAGACGGTGGAGGCGACGGAGACAATGGAGGCGATGGAGACGATATAGACGGTGAAGAGAGGCGGAATTTTCAGATGCTGAAATAGAGCACTTGGTTTTTGGGGTGAAGAGAACTTGTCTTTGAAGGAATATACCGTAGCTACTTATAGTAAAGTCTCGAATTGATAAAGAACATATTGGGTCCGTGAAAAACACCTAACTACCCGGTAAGAAGCGCTCCAAGCATCCCAAAAGTGCCTGTTCCACATGTAAGTCTATAAAATACATGTTTCACCTTATTGGTCCCATATGGATGTGTCTGTTCGGTAAAATAATTCCCCAATGATGCCAATCTGAAACATAGAAAGGACTAGCAAATACTCTGGGCAGCGTGCAGCCGTGTGGCCAGCAAGCCGAGAGATAAATCAGCCACCAAATGCTGTGCACCTTAATGCAGCAGTGCCACACTGATCGCTTACGAAGCCAGGGCGTGTCAACGCTTGTCACCGCATCTCTTGCAACTACGTCTACTTCGACGCCACCCAACGTTTCCAGACGATCGGCACCTCGGCATTCGTTCCTGGAGGGTCCGCATACCAAATCAAGCTCGTTTTCGGTCCGCTCGGGGTTACGGTGTACGAGACTGGAGTGAACGTCGGCTCGATGAGCACCGCACTCATTGGTGTCGGACCGTACCCCGTCAAGTTGAATGCGCAGATCCTGGACAGAGGCGCGGGTCTGGATATCAACATTGATAATATTGCGGTGGGGTCGAGTGCGAGCATCCTATGATCGATATTCATCTTTAGTGATTCCCGAAATGTGTCAAGGTCGTCCTGGTAGTTTTTGTTCTCCTACCGTTCTGTTTACGAGTCTGTCATCCAAAAATGTGTCTGTGCAAAGTTCTTGTAAGCATTGATTGAGCAAATCCCGCGCACTCCTACGATGTTATCGTCATAGAGCGGAAGTGAAGATGCCACTCGGGTTGTGAGAGAGGTGAGTCCATTCAGCCGAACGATGGAGCGCCCCGGATGCTCGGACTAGACTTGATCCTGGGTCTCGCGCCCAATCATTCGTGTCATCAATTTGTTCCTCTCACATCGCTACAAGTATCACAGTCATCAAATACAATTGACGCGGGAACGAGCACGCTTGGCGTCCTCTCTTCAATCAAAAGCTTCCGGGAGCAGAGTCGAAGAGACGCAGAGTGCAGCACGGAGGGGATAGCACTGCTCTAGAGTGCTACCCATGGATGATCGATCGCCCGCTTGGCATATTCAGAGTTGATCCCTCATCTTGCTGGGCCTTGGGTAATATGTCCGAGAAACGGTAACTACAAGATGCAAGTCACGGATGTCGCACACAGCAAATGATTGGAGATGAGAGCAGACGCGATAAAAAGAGTGTGTTTGTACCTGTTGCTCGCGATCGCTGTGCATTGATTTGTATCGCCATCTACGGCTTGGCAGCTCCCCGGTCAGACCATGCCGTAGGCACCGTAGGCAGATTCCAGTGATCCCTCCCTTTCTCCTCTGTGCACGCCCATCGTCACGACAGCGACCGTGCAGGACCCAAAACGCGCATTCTTCCTGCGCTTCTCCTTCATCTGGTCCACATGGCCCCTGGCAAGCCCCTGCACATCGGTCTACCCCCACGGATACTGCGAGTCGTTTTCGGCGGGGCGTTCCTCCTGCTCTGTTTCTATGTGCTTGTCTTGCGTGGCTGGGAGTGGGACGACCCTTCGGCGCTTCCGATCCCCGTTATTGACGACAAGAGCGTGCAGCTGGGTCACCCCTCGTTCATGGATGCATGGATGTACGAGCGCGCACTGCCGCAGCACGCTAAGACGCCTGTGTCTGCCAAGTGGCGGGGGCAAAACGGGGTCGATGGAAACGACGGACGGAGGTGCGTGGAGCCTACTACTCGCTCCCTGGGGGCCAGTGCTGACGTGTCGGCAGGTATCTCTTGATCAGAGATGCATCATGGGGGTCCGGGTACGTACAGCTGCTTCTCTCTGGCTCCACCTATTGACGACGATCCGCGGGCGCGCAGCTGGAACAACATCTTCCAGGAGCAGCTGCTGAACGACTATCTGTCGTACATCAGCGACCGCTCGTACGTCTTCCCGTCGTTCATGCCAGTCGACCACCCGCCGTACCCCAACAAGCTGCCAGACGGCTCCGAGCACCAGGTGCACATCCCGATGAACGCGCTTGTTTCTGGGCCTACCGCTGGCGGCCCACTACGCAGGGACGAGAGCGATCCGATCGGGCGTCGTGCGGTGTCGGTGGAGTACTGGCACATTGCGTGCCCACCGGAGCGGGTGCACCACATCAAGCTTTACGACATGCAGAAGGAGCTAGGGATTGATGATGACTCCCAGGGCGATGACAGGATGCTGAAGTGGTCGCGGATGTTGAAGGCGCTTGATGCGCCCTGTGTCAGTATCGACGACGGAGCGGTCTTCAATTGGATGTGCGTCGTCGTCCTTACTTCCGCATTAGACCCATGCTCACTGACGCGTGCAGGTTCATTGGGGGCGACAAGGTGATGAGCATCTGGCCCTCGTACAGTCTGTCGCCAACGATGCGCAACTTCGCTTGGTCGCCCATGGTCGTGCACGCACTATACCGCCACTACCACCTCTTCTCGCGCTCGCCCGCACCGACGCTCGTCCTGCCATCCGGTCGCCAGCCGTACCGAATGCAGTCGTTCAAGCGATTGTACACCGCCGAACACACGATCCCCGGCCTCCTCGCCATACACGTGCGACGCGGGGACTATGAGAACCACTGCAGCTTCCTCGCTGATGTCGGCGCAGACTACAACGCGTGGGACGGATTCGGGACTCCCGGGCTCAAGCTGCCCCCTGTGCGATCCGAGCTGATTGGACCGGGACCCTACAACTACCAGGACCCAAAGCTACCTGACTACCTGAGCACCCCGGAGGGTATGTCCCGACGAGACGCAGCTCACGCACATTGCTGGCCGTCACAGCACGCGATTGTCAAGCGTGCCCGGCAAGTCCGGGCTGGCACCAGCACGCCCGGAAACATGAAAAGCCTATTCATTGCCACGAATGGGGACAAGGCCTGGGTCGCTGAGCTGGCTGAGCTTCTCAAGGCGGATGGGTGGTCACACGTGACGAGTTCTCACGATATTGATTTGACGAAGGAGGAGATCGCCATCTCGCATGCGGTGGATATGGCAGTGATGACTGCTGCCCAGGAGTTTATCGGTGTTGGGGTCAGTGGATTACTCCTCTTCCTTTCCGTGTTCTCATGCTTTCGTGCAGTTCTCCTCGATGACGAGTAATGTTGTGCAGATAAGACTGGGTGCTGGAAGAGAGGCAAACACGTGCCACTTTTGGTGACCTAAGTATGTATACAAAATTATTACCTACACTATAATGGGTTCACGCGCTTTTCTTGGATTCCGGGTATTACCAGACCTGTCATGATATCCGCCTGTTTGTTCTCCCTCGAACGTCGAGAAGATTTAGTGGGATGCAAATTAGGATCACGCTCTGTTGGGATCACAGAGTGAAATCTGTCTAAAGCACATGCACCTGGTCGATTTGAACTGTATGAATCGCCACCGTCTGTTCTTTCTCACACTGCACCCGATTCGACAAGTTGCGAAGTTACAAGTCTCTTGTCTGATGCTCTAGAATACACGAACTAAATAAGTTATCCGAAAAGAATATACGATGAAAACGAAGAGTAATTCCCGGGCAGCCACTGTTCAAGAAAGCGGGTTCTTAACGCGGCGCTTGATTTTGCCGCCCATAAGCTCAACCGGGCGGGGGACCCCGTGGTGCCGCTCATATACGCCACACGCATTGCACACCAAGTCTCCGCGCTTATTGCGGCGCCAGACGCTCGTCTTGCGCGTGTGGCAGTGCGCGCACTCGTTCCCGTCGTCGTCCGAGAGGTCCATCTCGCCCGCGTCGATGACCTCCGCGGGGCGCGGCGCGTGGCGCTGCTGGAGGTACAGCCCGCACGCGTTGCAGAGCGTCGCGTGCGTCTGCGGGTCGCGCCGCCAGAGCGGGGTGCTGGTGGCGCCGCAGTGCTGGCATTGGCGGGTCGCGCCGCCGCCGCCGGAGGGTGCGGGTGGCGGGCCGCCGGGATGGCCGGATCCGTAGCCGGGTGCTGCGTCTGCGTAGCCGTGCGGGACTGCAGGGTTGTATGCGGTCTGCGGGTAGCCGCAGTGGGCCTGCGCGTTTGGATAGGCGGAGGGCGGCATCTGGTTATATCCAGACGATGGGAGAGACGAATCTGCATGTTGGGATGAGTACAACGTTGATCAGGCTGAGGAGAAATCGGTAATCACAAGGTGGAACCGCGCCCGTGAGTGAGCTCCAGTTGGAGATCGGTACCTGCGAATAGCCGTTGTCCCAGCTCATACTTGGTTGGAGCGTCGAGGAATGGGATGCTTATGTTGAGAAGGCCTCAAGTCGAGGAGGTCTGCGATGCCAATCCACCTCGCGCTCCATCGCTCATATACTACGCAGCGGAACGTAACGGAAGCGGAGATGACTGGGAATATCTATCCCGGGCTGGCACTCAACGAGATATCCTGTGAGGGATAGCGAACGCGAGACAGCCTAATGCACCTGTCACCTGGCTGGCTGTCAAATACGTTGATGGCTGATGGCGTTGGAGAGTTTCCACTCAATCCGTTCGAATGCCAGTCAGCGCTGATCACTGATGACCAGATCGAATGCACCGTAAACTCGCTGTGCAGGCTTGTTATGTCCGTCGCTCGGCGAACGAAAGGTCCCAAGCGGCGAGAAGAGGATTGAGTCACGCTACGGAATTGACGATAACGGAACGGAGCTCGACGAGTAATTTCGACTCATCATGACGCGCCATCTCATCCTCCAGCCCAAAACGGAGCACAGCCGCTGAAAGGGGTCTGTAGGGTATCTGTCCAATAGGCAGCGATGTCAATGTGGCTGCCACTGACTTGCCAATGTGTCGCTTTGTCGCTTATTTGCCGGTGACGCATTTAACTCTCTGCTTCTGTTCATCAAGTTCAGCGAGCTTTAGATAGTTCCGTGTCTTCTTAGGATCAAGACCTGTGTGTGCAGAGATTCCAGTCCAGTTTCGGAGCCGCAAGGGCCAGGCACGTGCCAGCGAGTTTACAGATGCAATCAACACGTATCAATTCCGAATTCATTTTCGCCAACACAGCCTTGGGTATGTTGAGGCTGTAAGAATAATATCGGTTAGGATTCAAGCTCCATCGACTCCAATGGAGCTCTCCGGATTTGTGGCAGGTGCAGTGCGAGACTGGGATGATCAGTATTCAGTGTAACAGGCGCATGCGAGATGACATGATATTTGATGATCGCATACTAGCCTCGCGCACAAGGAACAGACGCAGCCGGGGGGACGATCGTCATAGGATCTACGTGCTAGAATCTCCCAGGGCGGTCCCAAACTCACCGCTCGCCGTCACTCACTCCGACTCACCCATGACAGCGACAGAAAACATCGCCAACCATCGTTCAATGGAATGTGCCACGGAAAGCCTCTCCGGGTAGGGATCGACGGAAATCTTAATTTTGAATGTCAAGCTGAGCAGCATGTGTGGACCCCGGATCGGGCACATGCAGTTGGCCTGCGCGGGAGTGTTCGTGAGCGTGTTTCTCATCGTCGGAGGGCTCAAGTGTCACCGCGGGTATTCGTGGCAGATGCGCAAACGGGGGTTTGCATTATGGTATACCATCCATTTCTTCTGTCATGTGCGACGAAGATCAGGGCTCAGGACTGATGCTGATACGGCGGCGGCGGACAATCGGATCAGGAGCGTGGGCCGGACATCTCAATAGGCCGGACATCTCAGCACCTCGCCATCGCTCCCAAGTCTGCCAAGCCTTGAGGCAGACATTGCGAGTTCGCTGAGATGGAAGGCGAAAAATCTATCACGCCTGAAACGCGCAGGCCCCGCGCACTGTGCAGAAAGTGTGCTGCGCCGACATCCGCATGAAGTATCAACGATCTTTCATCCAGCTTGAAACTGCGTGGTCGAGGTTTGGCGTCATCTGAGATGACGTGAAACTGTTGAGGAGTTGATACCTAGAGTCTGCCCTCAAGGCTAAGATGCGATGAGTATTAGAGTACATTATGTCTTGTGCATACACGGCCAGATCATTCGTCAGCAACGGTGACAATGGCTTTGCCGACGTTCGTTCCCTTCAGAACAGCGACGATCTGGTCCCCGACGGTCTCGAGGCCGCGCGTGACATCCTCTCGGTAGACGATCTCGCCCTTGGCGACCATGTCCGGGACGGTCGAGTAGAACTGGTCGTGGTACTTGGCGATCAGCGGGATCGCGAGGAATCCGTGCATGTGGATCTGCTTGCCCACGAGCGTGACGAAATTCTGACGGACGAAATCTGTCAGTGAGTGCGGGACGGTCGCAGCTGGGTAGTCAACGCACCTTGAGAGGCTCGGGCTGGCCGTTGTATCCAGAGATGGACCCGCAGAGCAAGAACCGGGCGCCAACGTTGGCACTCTCGATCGCAGCGTCAGTCGTATCGCCGCCGACGTTGTCCCAGTAGCTGAAGCGCATACATTCAGCCATCAATCACGCGAATACCAGACGGCGCGAACGTACATGTCAACCGGACCCTCCTTCGTCAGCACCTCCCGCGTCGGCGTCGTCTTATAGTTGAACACGACGTCCGCGCCGAGCGACTTGACGAACGCGCACTTATCCTCCGAGCCGGCCGACGCAATGACCTTGCACCCCGCGCGCTTGGCGAGCTGCACGACGACGGAGCCGACGGCGCCCGCTGCGGCGGTGACGAACACGGTCTCGCCCTAGATCAGCCCGCGCATGAGAGCGTGCGAGCGAGAAATGATGTGATGACGCACAGCTTTGACTTCGGAGTAAGCGGTCCAGGCGCACCAGGCGGTTTGCCCTGAGTGGAGGATAACAGTGAATGGGACCCGGAAGGACGAACAGGGGGTGCGATGACGTACCGGGCATGCCAGCCGCGCCGATGTATGCCGTGAGCGGGAGATCAGCGCGTTTTTCGAGGATGGAGATGCTTGGGTTCAAGCCGGGCAGGACGTAGTACTGCTCGTGGCCTGCACGCCAACAATGAACCGACAAGGGACGACCAAGAAGAAGGATGATACGCACGGATGGTGTACCCATAGATGTACTTGCCCACCGGCACCTCCGCATTCTCTGATCTCAAGACTTTGCCGATCCCGAATCCGGAGAGCCTATTCACGTCAATGAGCGAGGTGGATTAGCGCGGGGCTCTGGGTGGTGGAATGGAGCACGACTGACGGTTTGCCGATCTCAAACGCACCCTAAGTGGAACGCCAATCAGCACTCGGGCATAGACGGACGTGGAATCGCTGCTACGCACGGTGTACGACGGGCCCGGCTTCATGCGGCCACGGAAGTACGGGTCGACTGAGAGGATGAGCACCTTCAGCAGGAATCCACCGTTCAAGGGCACGTTCTCGATGTCGATCGTCTCGGTGGTATCATACACCGTCGTCTCGCCCGGAACTGGTACGCCTGTGCACACCAAACGCGATGAGTCGGCGATATATGCGCGCAGGAGAAACGCGTCACTGAACCTTGGGGGACGGAGTTGAATAAGACACGGCCGTTGGTTACTGGTGCCATCGGAATGAGGAATGGAAAGAAAGGAAAGCTATTTGGAGAAGACTTGTGGCGTTGCTAATTTATCCTCGTCGCGTAAAAGAAGATTTACAATCGATTGATCGGTGACTACGCGGCTTCCGGTAACCGGAGGGTCCTACAACCGGTCTTACCAAGCTTGGACATTTCTTGGCAGCGCCACAACAGAGCGAAATAAATGACGCACTAAATGGCGCCCGTTCGAAAACGCTGGATGTTTTCCAGGTCGGTCAAGTGACGTTTCGTGACTCTCAATTTGCACGGAGTTTGCCGAATCGGCGTTGGCCGATGTCGAAATGTAGGTCACACGTCCCGACTGATGCTTGCGTGCGAACATGAGCTGAAACCCGCTACCTGGATTCAATATGCCACATCACTCCGCATTTAGAGGATACTCAATTTTGTCCAACTTCGAAACCCTCTTTCCACCAATGACCCTTGTGAGCGGAGAAACACTTGACACGTTCAGAGATGACGGGCAGTGCGAATCCCAGATGATAGATCGAACATGCTCTGCGAACTCAAAAATGATGTGTCTCACTATATGAGTGTATTTAGAACCATCACTTGAATGGGATACCTCTACTAATCACCAGAATAAGTCGCCGCATCCCCGCCTTGAGAAGATCTGAAATTAGAATACACAAGGCATAGATCGAAAACTGTTCCCGGCAGATCAAACTTGTGGCGCCACAGATGGACCTCGCTCCCGTAGTAACAAGAATAGAATGGTTTGATAGAACACGAGCGGCCGAAGATTGAGTGTCTGAGCTTCAACGAATCAAGGTTCGGGTACATCTCACACCGCTGCTTGCCTTATGTCCGGAAGTACATGGTGTATATTTGGTATCAGTTGGGCTGCGGTGGAATGCTAGCTCCGGTCAAGGCCTTTTCACATGAACCGGACCGGAGGCAAGGAAGCATGTGCTCCCGCCTGGGCCGCCCGAGCATATTTACCCTGGCCAACTCGATGTCTACGATACTGGCGGGTGGTGTTGCAAGCCTTCAATCGACAAGAAAGTCACAAGATGTCTCGAGATTTTCGGTAATGCAAATTCCGAGGCACATCTATCTGTGGACATTGATGAAAAAAATAATTTCGACGTGCGAATCGGCAATTCCCGATAGAAACGTGATGCTTCCAAGTTGGAAAACCGAAACTTTCACCCCTGTTGGTATCTCAGCGCAGAAGTCGTCTAATTCATCTGTCTTACGGGTTTGCAATACTGCTGGATTTTTGCTGACGATGGCAACGCTGTGTGAGCCAAGTACTGCAGGCCGGTCAGCAGGTGAGCGATGCCGAAGCTCATGTCGCTTTGCCTTTGCCATTTTCTCAGCTCTGTTCATTCAGAGTTATCCTTGAGACCTCGCTATCTAAGCTTTTCTGTTCTGAAACCTTTAAAATCTCACCCCTTCGCTCAAGTCGCCAGCACAACTCCCCCTCCTTTGATACTAAGGCGATGTCTGCTTTTGGGCGCGAATCAAGCCTCTCGATCCTCGCGATCCACCCCTGTCCTCCCCACATGAGTCCGTCGGACTTCAACAACAAACTCGTAGCCTTTGTCCGGTCCTATGTTACTCTGCCCTCGGTGAAGCAATACTTCGTCAAGTCGGAGATTGGAAGTGTCCATGAATCTGTGGTAGTCGTGCTGGCTAAATTGCCCGCAGTTCGTGCACAATAACGACCTGAACCACGTCTTTGCCAGCGGCGGGCTCCCAAACCCCGATGAGCGGAGTGTCTGTCTCGTCAAACACGAATTCGAGGTGATTAGACTTCATTGGCCTTTCACTAGGCTGCGCAGCTGATCTCGGATCCTAGAGCGCAGAAAGCTTCGCCCAGGTGCGTCCGCCTTACTTCCTGATCTCGCGTGCATCATCAAGATATACCATCAGGCTATGAACGACGCCGATCTCCTCGAGCTTCAACTCGGGCCGAAGGCCGAAGAGCTAGAATACAACTCTTCAAAGAATCTCCTCTTCGCGTCCCGTCATCATGTTGACCACGAATCTTCTTCGGCGACCCCGACCGGGTCCAAAAAGGCTTTCATCGGGTTCTTCGGGCCGTTGCGCAACACGGCGGCTATGAAGGGAGAGGCGGCTGTGCTGCTTGGGCTGCCAGCTTGGAGGGACCATGTAGTGCGACATACGCTGGTGAGAAGCTCAGTCTATGAGAAAGGCGACCTTGCCGGACTTGATTTGGAACATAGTGCTGGAGCATGAACGACGAAGCAGTCGAGCTTGCGCTCGCGCCGCTGGGCCGGTCGGCAAAGCTGGACGAGCCTCTGATGCTCGCCATCAACGAGCTGAAGGTACGAGTGACCATCGCAGTCCAACCCCTTAAATTTCGTAATGCATTACTAGGACGGCGACAGTGTCCACAAGGTACATCATATTCGATCCGAGCAGAAATCGAAAGGCGCTGCGGAACTGATTATGCTCACGCCTAGATTTTTGGGGACGCAGCAGTACAGAGCGAACTCGAGCGCATCAATCAGATGCATGTTCTCACGGGGAGCCAAAGTCACAGATTTGCGGCCGACGTTGTGGTCCTCGTTTGATTCCTGCTCCATAAGAACATCATTACAAAGAATTTGATGTGCAGCGTGAATGCTATGGTAGAGGGTCCTCCGAATCTTGAGACAGGGAGAGCACCCGCAGGACGACAGTATCTGTTCTCTCGTGATTAAATATGAAACGGTCTGTACAAGCCACAAAGAGTGTGACTAAAATCTGCGTAGAGCCTCACCTCTCGGGTCCAGCTGGCGCCTTTCCGAGGAAGATCGCTCGTATGCATCATTTGATATAGATGACCTGGCAAGAGCAAAATGGGCCTTGAAGATCCAGCGGCTCTCAATGATCGACCCGCGCAGCTCTCGCAAAGCCCTCTCAGCCCACTGGACGCTCTCGAATTCGATGATTCCAGAGCTCGTTCCTCCCACTGAGTTCCACAACTGAGTTGCGCGGGTCGATTTCGAACAGAGGGACACGTACCAAAGTTAACCAGGAACTTGGGCTTCCTCCTCTCCCCGGTATATTCACACCACGCAGAGATGTGGCTTTTGAGTGCGGCGGGTGTGCCCTCGTAGTGGTAGAAGTACACCCGGCGCGAGGGCTCGAGGCTCAGATCCGAATCTTTCTGCGTCTCGTGTTGCAGGAATTTCGCCGTGTAAAACGTATCGTCCCCGTCCTTGAAAGGCTCGTCTGTCATGCGCACATATGCGCGGATGGCATCGTTCTTAGTGATCATATACACCTGCACGTTGCCCGTGTTGTCCTTCGCGATCGTGATGTCTCGGATATCCAGCCCGTCAAACGCCGCGCTCTTCGTCAGCAGCGGCCACATATCGAGGAGCGTCTTTTCCCGTGCGAGGCCTTCGATGACTAGCCGCCTGCCGAGTTTTTGGGGTAGGTGAAGCGGAGCGAATTTCGCGAACTCGATTTTGAGCGGACGCCCTTCGTACCCCAGCGTCAAGTCAGCGGCGACGGCTTTTTTGGCTTCTGCGATGTTTTGCATGAGCACGACTAGGGCGCAGCTTGGGGTGCTTAGGCGCATGCGCGCTCCGGTGGATGTCAGTCAGTACGCAGAGGAAACGGAGAATAGGTCACCAGCACACCATTGTTGACCGGCCTCAGACGCCCAAAATTCTCCTCGAGTAAGTTCACGAGACCATTCAAGTTGTAATTCGCCGGCATGTTGCTGATGTGCAACCGCCGGCGTGGGATTCCCTCCAGGTCTGCGACAGTAGAAAGAAGCAAAGGCGGGGGACGCGACTCGAGGAGTGGATTGGAGCAGTAGAAGGCGCGCCGACCAAGGACCAGGATGCGTCTCATGTGCGGCAGGTAGGGCGTGGATGTGATCATGACTGTTGTCCGCTGAGCCTTCGACGCGTGACGTCGCAGTGACGTGACATTACTCGGCGATCATACTTTCGTGATCAGCGCCGGTACCAATTTTAGATACCCCGAGGCGCGTTTCATTTGGCTCCGGCATCGGTCCAATTGTCATGGGAGAAGTGTGGAAAGACGATGAAGCGAGCTCAACAACAAATTGAATGACAAACTGGACATTTTTTCTTGTATCTGGTTGACTAGCGAGACACTATGTAAGTGGGGCTCTGAGACAGCTTGCTTCTATCCAGCTTCGCAGTAGGCTGTGAATCATTCATGCTGCGTAGTGAGCTCCCTTTACTGCTCTCAAAAGCTTCAGCCTTTTCTTTTCCATCAGTCTTTCTGAAAAAAATCAATGGACATCATTGATGGTGTTCACGGAATTGTTCAAACGGTTCAAATGATTGGTTGATCGTGACTTTTTGCAGCGCTATTTTTAGCACAAATCCCTTCGCTGTGCTGTCCGATACAGCTTCGCTGGCTTCAAGTTTCATGGATGTTCAAAAAACCTGACATTGCCATAGCCCCGAGCTCAATATCGAACAGTTCTGAACTGTCCAACCTTGATGGCCTTTGATCAAGTAGCAACTGGAGATCAAGCGTGTTCAAAGCGATGTAGAATCGAATACATGGGGAATGCAGATGGTCTGTTTTCTCTGCCTGATCACCAAAGCGCAGCCTTATCTGCCGCTAAAAAGTGTCAATCTGATCAGAAACCGTTGGATCATTCCCTTTGCCTCACCGCAAAATCAAACACTAGAAGCTCTAATGAATAGAGCGTTTTTCTTGTTTTCAAGTTGATGAGACGCTCTTAACCCTGATGCTCCAGGGTAAACAGAGATGAGAAGTGAGAAAACCTGTTCGCCGGCTTACATGCTCCTGCCAAGATTGGCTCGCGCATACTGTAGAGTCCGGAACAGAAGAAAGGAGGAGGGAGTGATGGCGGGAGTGTCGTCGGGGTGTTGATCAAAGATGAGGGACACACGAAAAGCGTTTCATTCAGAGGGCAGACAAAGTAAACAACCCCTCGCTTCAGAGAGCTCATTAGATGCAGTAGTACAAACGACATCCGTCCAGGGTAACCTGCAGCGCATTGAGTGTTAGATGAGTTCCGATGGACCGCAAGTTTTCAGGCAGGGACCCACACTCCGAACTTCTCCCGCACTCGCCGTAGGGACAGGATCGACATGGGCGGTCGATATAGCCGTCTCAATCGGTGCACCGAACACTCGGGATGCTTGAGAGAGCCTGTCAGCCAACAGCTCTTCAACCAAAGCAGCGATGTCCAACGCACTGAGCGAGCAGAGAACCGCGATCATGAGCAGGGTGTGGTGGTGGGACAGCTGCATTGTGTGGAGTGTATCGAGTGCTGGAAGATGGGTGGAGACAGGACATGGGTGACCTGTCTTTTATATCCCTGCCGCTCGCTAACGACTGTCGATATCCGCTTTGCGGCGGCATTTGCGGAACAAACATTGCTTGTTTGAGAGTATGGGCTCCCGAACGGACATCTGAATTGGGAACAAATGGCTGATGGTGCGATGTCAAATGAGGATCCACAACTGATCGATAAGGACACCGGGAGTTTCATGAACACTCGCGGCTTGAGTAAAATAGATAAAGCGGATGTGCCTAGGTATAAGTCCGATTTCTACGCGCATCTAATATAACCTCTCCACGACAATCGGCAGCGCCGCTTTCCCATCCACCATAGGCTCGGCTGGAGAGCCCATCTTCCAGGAGATCCGCTGTGGATGTGACACAGACAGCTTGAACGAGCGAAGGAGCACAGCCAGGACAATCTCTGCCCAGTTCATTAACACGACGTATACCCAGAAAAAGACAACGTGAAATGCGCACTGATCTCCAATTGGGCGAATCGGAATCCGCTGCTCGCGTTTAGCATTTTGCGAAACAGAGGGGGTTCAAAGACAGAAGGCGCACGCACATACAGCTCCTGTTCCCTCCCAGAAACGTCATCATGTCCCCGAAGACCCCGGACGACGGCCACTTGGATGATGGTTCAGATCCGGGCACGAGCCAGCGCTCGGGATTGAACTCCAGAGCGTCGTGGCCCCAGACAGCCGGGTTATGGTTGGCGCCGGCGATGGCGATGTAGACATCCGTGCCCTGCGGGACCCGAATCTGGTTCATCTTCTGTCCGCGCGTGTCGGTAAGGGGTTCGGATAGCGGGAGAATGCATTCACGCGTGGTGCTAGGGTCCCGTGATCGCCCGTTAGTACTCGCACCGGCATCGATCAGTCTGGGGGATTGACTCACGTGCGCGACATAGCAGTGATGGGCGGGTATCTGAGCGCCGTGTTTTAGCTGCGGTGCACATGTCTTGCTTCTTCAAGCTGCGGAATCGAGGCAACTCACAGCCTCAGCGTCTCACGCACGACCGCGTCGAGATACGGCAGTTGTACGAGGACGTCGTGGTCCATGCGCTCGTCGTGGCGCAGCAGCTCGGCTCGAAGTCGCTCTTGAATCTCGGGGTTCAGCGCAAGAACGAGGATGACGCGGTTCAACGCCGAAGATGTCGTATCTGTCCCCGCTTGCACGATCATCCTGCGCACGATGGTTATAGCTGCGTCCAAGCACAATAATTAGAGACGAAGACGCACGATATCTGGGCAACCAGTTCCTCTGTCATCAGCGGCGATTCATCGTCTTCCGTGTCTTGCACTGGACAGAGCAACATGTGAGACTTGGCTTTTCACAAGGGCATGATCAAGGTCAACTCACTGAGGAGACTGAGAACGTCATGCCTGTGCTCCTGGCTCGCGCCTTCCCGCGCTCGGTGAACAAGTTCCGTCGCTCGCCGATCGGTCACCCTGACCGCATCACACAGCGTTCCCAGACTCGTTTGTCTCGGCACGACACGGATCAGCGCCCGCCGGAGCCAAGGCGACACCCGATTCGCGAGCAGCGGGACGAAGGGCAGCAGGACAGCGAGTTTGTGGACGCATGGGCTGCGGTTCGGGGTATCGGATGCAGGGCAGAGGGAGACATGGGAAGCAGACTGACGTGATGGCCTTGAGCGAGCGGGTGTAGTTGTCGGTTGGATCCTCGATGGACGACAGGGGGTCGAATGAGTGGTCTGCACCCGCGCGGCCGATAAATTCGAGCGATACGCGGCTGAGGCAGGGGTAGAGGTCGATCTGGATATCACAATCAAAGGGTACGTGAAAGGGTGAGGTAGATGGACGAACCTCGGACGACACGCCGTCCTTGATCTGAGGGATCACCAGTCCATCGCGAAGCTACGCGCAGGAACTCAACGGAAGAAAAGAACATAACGAAAACAAGAAGTGACGAAACGCACCCTGCACGCCACCTCGTACAACGCCGGCACCATCCCACGCAGATGCTTCGGCGAGAACGCCGGCATCATAATCTTCCTGTGACGCCGATGGGTTGCGCCCGTAGTCGACAAGATGCCCGTCCCGAACAGGACACGAGTAAGGCTTCGGTCGCATCGCACCGGTCCGATTCAGCGAAACGAAGCCTCCAGCGGGCGCGGAGCTCACCTGAGGAACACCAGGCCCTCCTCGTACGACTCGGCGTCCTTGACGAGGATCGAGTGCAGGGCGACCGGGTCGTACACGTACAGCTGCAGGCTCTGTGGGAATTCGCACCCCGCGTCACACACACGAAAAAACCGCTGAGAGGAAGCCCACGTACCCCGGCGAGCCCATGTATCTTCACCACCCCGGGGCGGAAGTCCCTCTCCAGCTGCGCGTGGAAGTCCCACCCATCAGGCCCGTGCAGACGCGCGAGGTTGCCCGCGAGAAACGTGTCGGCCGCAGGCCCCGGCACGGCGTGCAGCGGGTGCGGAGCGCCGAGTCGTCGGGCGCGCAGTCGGCGCTGGCACCAGATGAGCGCCGTCAGGGCGGCTGTGCAGGCGAGTGCCAGGACGACGTCCATGGTGAGCGAGAGGAAGACTGAGAGGAAAAGGAAGAGGAAGACAGGGCGTGTGCAATCCTAATCGCTCCCAGGACATCCGATTTCGATTCCTGCTATGCCTTTTCCGGTCCAGCCAAGCCGGAATCAGAGGAATGCGGAAATTGTGCGCGGGCGAAGTAAGCCTCCAGCCCTCTCACACGGTGTCAAGGGAGTGAATGTCGTTGGAGGTGCTTCGTCGGAGCTCGGATGTCAGACAACAGACATTTACCGGCGGGGAGAATGCAAGTCTTTCATGATCCCCATCGAGTAAGAAGATGACGGGCAGTCGAGGGACAGAAAAATGAGTGCGACATGTTGTGGCGGTGCAACGTCAAAGGCAATCGCGAGCGTGACCAATTGTTTCACAATCAGTAGGGCAGTGAAATATACCGCAAATGACCCTGCGGTACACGCCTGCCACCAGGAACCAGGTATGAGTACTCTCCGAGGTCGTTTCAGCATTAGCTGATTACCGCATCCGGAATTTTCCGGTTTCCATAATATTTCGAAATGAGTTGCAGAATCCGCGACGAGAATTGAATCAGAACACACATGTATGCACTGTTACTGGCAGAGAAGATTTCAATTTTACCTCGGATAGGACTTCGATGAGGGCCGATTTTCTAGTCCGTGGTACCCATCAAGCCAGATGTCTAACAATCAATCCTCTATGACGCAGTGCGCGGAAGTATATGATACTGCATCGTCTCAGCTAGCGGCCCTCTTTTTCCCAATCTCATCTCTCAGCAAAGCAATGCGACTGTCCAACCGGGAGCTCAGATCGATCTCGCTCTTGGCAGCATGGCTCTGGGCCTGATCAAGCAACTTGTCCGCTTCGTCCAGCGCACGGACACTGTCCTCAACTTTCAACACCAACACTGCCTCCTCGAACAGTGCCACCCCTGGGACCCACGTGTTCACTTTCGCGTGAGAACCAGTGGCACGTGCACTTTCCAACAGTTCACGAGCCGGGCCGAAAAGCCCGAGTGTCCGGTGCATGACCCCGAGGAGGAGAGAACGCAGTGCTTGCTCGTCGGGTGTGTCGAGCTCAGCCAATGTTTTCTGTTCGGGATCAGCCGCGATTAGGACTTTTATTTCGTACTAATGAATGCTGACCTGCGGCGGAGTTCCATCGAGGACCGGTGAAACCACCGATATTGAAGGCGCTATTGATGCTAGGTCCTTGATGCAAGCTGTGGCTACTTCATTCGTGGTCCTTTGGTGCAAGTTCCAGACTGGGGGCAGCGTTCACAAGTGCTTGAGATCTCCGCCAAAGTCACTTACACAGTCCCATTTCTGAACACGGATTCAGCGTGAGAGATACAAATGCCAAGGACGGCCTGGACGCACCCCAAGCTGGATTGATCCCAATGACATCGACCAATTTCGTCGCATCGATGTTATGTCGCTTGGCTTTCTCTTTCCAGAACTCCACTGCGAAAGATCGATTAGCCAAACGCCCATCGTGGAAGGACGAGGCAAAATCGAACTCTTTTTCTTAATGAAGACTTCCGTCGGTAGATCCTTCCCGCCGACTTTCTTCTTTGTTACCAGATCTGGAATCTTGTCGATGAGCTCCTGAGCCTTGGCTTTCTCACCGACAGCCAAGAAGCAGCCTGCCGCAATGAAGAAGTATGTTGCATGCGACCTGTGAACATTGACATATCTACATCCGGAGAATGGAAGGGAACAAACCACGAGTTCAAAGCTGTCATTCGGATGAATGCTTCGGCCGCTTCTTCAAACTGTCGCTGAGAAAGAAGCGTCCATGCCAGCTCAAATACGAGCTGCAAGGAAACAAAATGAGCGCATGAGCTGGGGATGGGCGCAAAAGGGCTTACCAACGTATCCGCCTGCACGAATCGTTTCACGTCTCCGTTGTCTTCTGCACTCAAGGCAGCTTGTAAAACGCTTATGGCTTCGTCCGGTTCGCCTGTCATGCGGAGTATCTTGGCCTGCAGTCGAATATCAACCTGAGAACCAAGGTACGAAGCTAGACAGACGCGCACCCTATTGAGAACCCATAGCGCACCAGTGGGGTACCTTGCTTGAATAGAATCGACGATCGTTTTGTATGTACGAACAGTCTTGGCTTCGTCGGCTTGATACCCTGAAAGCAGGAGCACCACACCGTGGAATGTCATCAGAGTCAGACTAGATCGAGATCGTCAGACGGGCGCATTTGAACAAGACAAGACGCACCCAGCAAAGACGCCGTGTACGTCTGTCCCTGCTGAGGCCGTACCACCATCACCTTCTATTAGCGTATGGACGCCGGCGCTGATAGCTAGCGCTTGCAATGCCAGTGCGCGGTCGTATTTGAAGCCGAAGATGCCCACGACCGACCTGTTTACGGGTGGATCGTTCGATGTGGCTCCCGCAGTGGAAAAGGCACTCACTGGACACGCTTCGGGAGTAACGAGAACACCAGATTGAACAACCCGTACCCGAACGCGGAACCAGCAACGACCATCTCCTCGACGGGACCCTCCGCCGGCCGTTCTCTCTGCCACCGCTCCTCCTCTTCCCGTGCCTTCTTCTCACGCTCAGCCTCCGGCGAACGCGGCGCCGACGACGCGACACTCAGCAGACTGGCGCTGCCCCACCTCCCAAACAGACCGCCCCCGCCCTTCTTCGGTGCGGGGGCTGCCGAGAGCGATGTCGTCGAAGACGAGGACAGCGGCGAGGTTGCCCCCGATGGCGGAACGGAAAGCGTCGCGGTGCTGCCGTTCGGTGACGGGTAGGATCCACTGCTGCCTGACGCGAGCGATAAGAGCGAGGTGGCTTTCGAGATCGTGTGCTGGGGGTCGGAGTCTGGATCGGTGGTTGAGAGGAATTTGCTCTGACTGGGTGTGGGGGGGATGGACGATGATCGGGAAGGGGCGTGTGAGGGTGCGGGGGTGCGGTATCCGTCTAGTCCTGATGGGAAGACCGCCTTGTAAAGCTTCGTGAACTTGCCGTGCGCAGCATTGAGCGAGTATAAGCACTGGAGATAGCCCATATAGGATTCACTGCGCAGCCGGGGTGCGAGTGAGTGGAGAAGAGAGACCAGGACAGAGCACGCACGACAAAGCCTGCGTCAGACCTAACAGCACCACCGTATCAGCGTGCAGAATCTCCCATTCTACACCAGGCACGAAGCGCCCCCCACCGTCGCCGTGGCCGTCGACTCCACCCTTCGTACGTGCAGACCCCGTAGCGGACCCCGCCTTCCTAGCCTCCGCCTCAGCCCGCTTGGCGCCCTGCTCTGCACTCTGCAGAATCTTCGTCGCCTCAGCCATGAGGCCCGGCTCCATCCCCAGCGCAGCCTCGAGAAACGCTACGGCGCCGAGCCCGAGGAGGTGGAACGGCGAAGGGTCGGAGGGGGCACTGAATGCCGCACGCGCGCCAACGTTGTCGTTCTTGAACAGCGCATCGAAGCCCGCGGTCGCGGACACCAGGGATTTCGCTGCTGGCGAGAGAGATGCGTCCGCTGCCATTATTGAGACTTGTGCGAGACGGAAAGATGAGTTGCAGGGGTGTCGTCAATGCGCTCGCCGCTTAGTCACCGAGAATGACAGATATCAATGCTTACGCCGGGGTGCCCGCTGATGGGACAGGCTAAAAATAGCAACCCCTCGGCGCTCTTGCACACGATTCGAAAGAAAGTTGCATCGAGTAGAAGGAGGCCAAGGGGTCGAATCGCATTCAGAAATAGTGGCAATTCGAGTTACATCAGCCATAGTTCACGGGAATGGACATTAGGTGTCTCGAGCGCCCAAGTGATACGACCATAAGCTATGGGATATGGAACTGTTGCAAGAAAGATTCCCCCTATTCAGCTTTACAACAAATATATCTCCTGAGACGACTACGGGGCGACCAGAAATAGCTAATTGATTGTGTAGATCTCCGTTGAAACTCGCGCTTGTGTTGCTTCTATGTAAGGTTTCTTAACGAGCGTCAGCCTCGGGAAATCATCGAGCCATCAGCTGACGCTTGGATGATGATCATTTACGGGAGGTTCAAGACGACATTTGCGTCGTCTGCGTGTCTTTTAAGGGGACAAAAAAGAGAGATTTGTCCGTTGTACCGAAGGGGTTTTCAGGTTAAATGGGTGGAGCCGTCGCGTCTTGGACTGAATTTTTGCAGGATTAACACCCGGCCTCAAAATTTAAGTATGAAAAACAAATCACTAAGCTATGTAGACGGGGTCGCGTGAGTTCCCTTGTCCTTCCCAATTGTTCATCTTTCCATTCTTACCAAATTTACTTGGTGAACTGTCGTTCAACTTGTCGTGTTGTCTTATTCCCCGCGTTCTTGAACTAAGAGCGAAATTTCTGGTCCACTCTAGAAGAAAACTGGTAGCACATTTCATACGATCCCTACCGGTGTTGAATTTGATCAATCTACTATGTACCCGAATGAGCGTTCACTGCCACCTATCATAGCATTTAAAAGAATCGATTCTTGCGTTTCTTCAGTAAGCACGACATATTTTTGCGGATTTAGTACTCCCCTTGCCCACTTTTGTGTAAGTTATCCGATCTTTTTGCGTTTCTGCGTCGGTCATGATCCTGCCTCTTCAGTGAATGACGCCGAGGAATGAGGTGGACCGCCTTGAGGCGGTGAAACTTCACCTTCGAGAATAAATCAACAAGAGACGCACCGCATCAACGCAGCCTCAGAGTTCAAGCAAGTCAATATCCCACTTCGACCCATCTTTATCTTTCTCTGAAGATCTGCGAGCGCCTGATCTGACGTGTCCTCGAGACAGTTTATGGACGGCCGTCTAGACTCGCGGTCTCTGATGATGATGAGTACCCGCAGGCGAGAAGAAATCTATCTGGAGTCTGGAATCCAGAATCAGGCGCACAGAGGAATGCGTGCTGCGGGAGCAACATGCTGCAGGACAACCTCAGCATCAATGACCCAGTTCTAGAGACTGAACCGCCTGTCAAGCTCAGTCACTGGCACAGATCTATTTACAGGCATGAGAGAATTCGCCGGAGCTTCGAGTGGAGACGACGAGAGAGCAAGCGGGGCTATCATGGTCACTTGAATTCGGCGGCAATGATAACAATTTATGTTGATAAACATCTATCGGTAGAGAACTTGACAATTCAAAGCATAATTGCAGGCACTGATCTCATCATCGGATCCCAACGCTGGCTGGGAAAATTGGAAATAAAGCCACAGAGGCTGCAGTCCGCACCATACCACGAGGAAGCTTTAACACGGATCGTACAAATTGTCGTTACGAGATCACCGCGCTGCAACCATCTACACAGCGTATGAGTCCTATCGATAAATGTTGCCGGGATCTTGACGGATGACTCAATTGATCTTAGCGATTGCCGACGTTTGAACAAAGCCAAGAGCAAATTTTGCGGGAATACATCAATGCGCCACGCGCTAGCCTGCCCACTGCAAGAGGGTTAAAAGGCCAATGAAATCCGTACCTGCCTCCCCACATTGCTAAACCATGTTGTTCTTCCACCAAGTCTCACTCGCCTCCCTTTTGCTCCTCACCAGCGCGAGCGCTCAAACGCTGTACGGGATCTCCGCCGCGCCGACCCAGACGCAGGGCATCGACTACTTCACGATCAGCACAAAATTAATCGACATCTCTGTGGGCGGCACGGACGCGCAGGGCGGGACGACCTACATTGAGGTGGAGGGGGCCGACAAGCAGGTGGTGACGGTGCAGGGCATCGTTGGGACGCTTCCCGCTACGACGACGACGCGTGTGTTCCTTCCCAAATCTTACCGTAGCTCCCGCGTGTGCTGACGATGGCGAAGAAACGTTTGTCGAAGGTCCGTCTGGATTAGCGGCGACGGTGAAAGTGGGGCAGGCTCTGGGCGGAGAAATAGACGAGTCGTGTACCTGGAGTCCGGACCACACCGGCACGGGCGAGTGCGTGCTGAAGAACAGCCAGGCGACGGTGACGCTCGTGGGCGCTGTAGCGCCCCTGGCCACATTGCCGCTCCACACCAAGAACAGCGCGGTTCAGATTGGGAGTGGGTTTATCACAGGGATGGCCGGCGTCGTCGTTGGTGCAGCAATCGCGCTGGTTTGAGCTGTGAATGGATGATAGAGAGAACCAGAATGTGTGATGTGTGTAAATGACATGCGATGAACGATGAAAAGAAGGAACATATAAGAAAAACGAACGCCTCATTCACCCTCCTCCAACATCCGGAACATTCCCTATGGTCATTGCACGAGAATCAGCCGACGACACACAGGTCTGAGACGGAACAACATACAAGTACGAAATCTTGGGACACTGAATCCCACCCCCACAACAACCGCTTCCTCTTCCTGACCTCCGACGGGACAAAAGAATCTAGACCCCCGACACCCATGATCGCGCGCCGTGGCTCCGCCCACTCTCGGATGCGCGTCCCCGCGTTGAAGATCATCTCGTGCATCGCAACGAGGCGAAGCAGGTGCGGGTTCGCGTGCACAAGTACTTCCAGGGACTCGCCGAGGTCCGCTGGGGTAATCACGATTATCCCTGTGACGTCGCTGAGACAGAATAGTAGCCCAAGGAGTCGGGCGAGATTGATCCCCCTGTTCCGCTGAAACACACTCTCCAGCATCGAGTCTGTGATAGCGCCTTTGCAATCTTTCATCCACCGTCCCCTGGGCTGTCCAAATCACATGTCAGCTGAGCCACACTCCAGAGTCGCTGGTGATGCACCTTCCAATAATGCTCGAACCCTTCAAGGAGTCGGCACCGCACGTTAGAGTACCAATTCTCCTCGCCTCCCGGCGCGAGAGAGCCCAATCGCATGATGAAGTCCGCCACCCAGCTGACGAATGCCGCATCCTGCGTCGCAAAGTCAAACAGGCTCGAGATCGTACTCGCCGTGTCGTATGGAGGCCGGGAACTATATGCTGATAAACGGAGGACGTATCACTGATACGCGATAGTTTGCCGACATAGGATCAATTTCATGATGCGCTCCATGTCATGATGCGCTCTATCTGGACGGCTGAAAACGTTATACTAATGACCGATGTCTGAATCGTGGATGGCCGCTCGGCAGATATTGATCAGATGATTGACGCAATGATCAAGACCCCAGGTAGCCGACTATCGCAATATCGCAACATCGTAATATTCGAAAAGCGCAACATTCAAGATAGTGTAATATTCGAGATAGCGTAGTGAGCATGTAATTACTGTAATTCACTAATCATTTTCGCGGGAGTCTTCCTCATCCGAGAACCATGCGTACAGATCAGGACCAACAGCTTGCCGCAGCTGATTGATACGACACGCACCCGAGCGATCCGTTGGCCGAGAAGCCCTCTAGCAGCGGCGACTTGACACTCAAGTTGGTTTCCAGCATGTACCCCCACTCGCGCTCGATCAGATCAATTGCCCGCTCGCCCTTGCCGGCCACAAAATGCGCTTGGATCTGTCGCGCAGGTGACACGCAAACCACAAACCACCAGCGCAACACGCACCTCGAAGCCACGGCCTGATGGGCGTCCAGAACTTCATCAGCCCGGCGCTCACGGCCTTGTTCTGTGCGTCCGATGTCGTGAGGTTGTACAGGACCGCGAGCGCGTTGCCGTCCTGCGGGTGGATGCTCCTCGGCAGGTCGTTGCTGCGGAACCGGCCCGCCGCGGCGTCCCACAGCAGGCTGTTGAACGCAGTTTTGATCTTGGTCGCGTTGGCGAGGTATGTGGCGGGGAGGGAGACATTGCCGAGATGCGTCGCCAGGTCCGCCGTGGTGACGAGCGTCTACGAGCTTGATGAGCGCGGATACATGATGCGAGAGACAGAAATCAATCCTCACGCGATAAAGCAACGCGTTTGCCGCAGAGTTGTGTCCGGCGCCGCTGGCCCTGCCCCAGTCGTTCGAGAGCGCAGACGAGACGTTCATCAGGCCGGTCAAGTCCACCTGGCCCTCAAGGAAGCCAACCGCCTTGGTGTAGTTCGCCCAGACAGACTTGATGAAATCGAGGTCGCCCGTGTACAGGAAGTAGTTGTGCGTCCCAATGAGCGACCACGAGATGTACGTGTCGCTTCCCTGGTTGTTCAGCGGCGGCCCGGAGTACTGCAGCGCGCCAGTCGTCAGGTTTTGCGTGCGGAACATCACCATCAACGAGTTCTTGGTCGGCTCCATGTCGCTCAGCGCGACGAGCTCCGTGTGTGTGGAGATGCCGCAGTCGCCTGATCCGTCGCATGAGTCCGAGGGTTAGATCGCGTCCATGAGCATGAGGGGTTACCTGGCCAGATGTTCCTGACAGTACCAATGTCATCAGCAGGGATTGCACACACAGATCGCGACCGACCATTCCTCACCTGTCGCGTTTTGCACCATCGACGAGGATAGGCCCAGTGGCAGCTCCTCCCAAGGCATCGTTGGACCAGCCACCTACAAATGTGATCGCACAGTTTGAGTCCAAAATTCAGATCCACGCCGACACGAACCTCCTGCTGGGCACGGCTCCTGTCGCGCCGTGTGGGGAGGGATTGTGTTGGTCTGCACCCTATAGTGCCTGCTAGCGGTCAGCCCCCACCCACGCCACGCTCTGCCACATCAGCCAGCAAACAGGCGATGACGCACCGGCGTACCAGATCTTCGTGAGGCAGTCGATGTCGTGGAACCCGGGGTCAGGTGCAAAGAAGTAGCCCGGGTACGCCCTGAGATCATCCCAGTGGGGCATGAACGTGATCGCCAGCGAGATGTTCGAGATCGTCAGCGGGTCCGCGCTCGCACTCACAATCGTCAGGAAGCGGAACCCGCCGCGCTGCTGTCCCACGGTCTGCGTCAGCAGCCCCGTGGCTCGCGGCACGTGGAACGTCTGGATTCTGTCCCAGTTCTGCAGCCGTGCGGGCTGGCACGAGTCGTCCAACTTGAGCGGGCTGATGAACTCCGCGGACTCGGTGAACGACAGTGAGAACTGCGACTGGGCCGTCGCGTTGTTGATCGTCAGCGACAGGATCCCCCCAAGCTACAGTATGGGTGTGTGAATTGACCCTCGACGGCGCTGTATCAGGGAGGCCGCGCACCTCCTTCCCCAGTCGAACACGACGTACGAACCGCTGCCCTGGAATGTCGCCTGGGAGTCCGGACTTGCGACGAGCCTGCTCGCGCCGGCGACCCGGCCGCTGATCCTATCTCGAATGTTGCGCTTTTCGAATATTACGATGTTGCGATATTGCGATAGTCGGCTACCTGGGGTCTTGATCATTGCGTCAATCATCTGATCAATATCTGCCGAGCGGCCATCCACGATTCAGACATCGGTTATTAGTATAACGTTTTCAGCCGTCCAGATAGGCGCATCATGACATGGAGCGCATCATGAAATTGATCCTATGTCGGCAAACTATCGCGTATCAGTGATACGTCCTCCGTTTATCAGCATATAGTTCCCGGCCTCCATAGTGTCGCCTGTCTGCTGCAGCTTCTTTACGAAGCTAGAAAGCAGGCGTTCGCGGCTTGAGGGACGATGTTCGTGGTCGTGGTCATCCATGAGGACAGACTGGGACTCCGAGGGGTGTTGTAGTGTAGGCTTTGGAGAAAAAGGCCGCTTTGTGCCTTTGTCTTCAATGTCACAATGCTGCTCAAAGAGATTTGTTGATAAGAACACATCGAAGCGGAATCTTGGGAGCCTTGATAGCGGACATTGGCGCTCGAATCTATTCGGTCGACACGATATTTGAGCAGGCACTGCCTCGTTGAAGCTGTGTGGCACACCACGTGAAATGTCGTGAGGTCATTTACCTTCGTGCAAATAGAAGTACATCTCGGTGGTATTACAAAGGCTCACTCAAACCTTCTCCTCAATCGAATCTTCCCTCATATCTGCCTTTCCCTCGGCGGCTGCGACGACCCCGACGCTTTGCTCGTCACCAACCTTATCCATGACGTCGCGGAACATCGGGACAAAGTTGCAGCAGACTGCGTAGGCCCAAGGCACGACGTGGAAAGCGACGGGAACCACGAATCCAATCGCAGTGGAATTGTGCATGTCTGCGACCTTCGCTGTGAGTGGGGGCACTAAAAGACATGGCATCAACATTCAACTGTACGAAGATTCATAGTCAGTCACGCACCACAAGCGCCACCGACAACTCCAGCGATGATCCATCCACTCCCGCGCTTCGTGTGCCGGCCAAGTCCCCGAATTCCCAGCGCGACGATTGTCGGGAAACACACGCTCTCGAAGAACAGACACAGCATGAGCATTGCGAGGCCCTTGTTCCCTGTCTGCGTCACGGACGCCGCAGCAAACGCGATCACGAGCGAGATGTACGTGAAGAACACTTTCCGTGGCCGGATGCGCGTCATGAGCGCCGAGCCAGAGAACCGGCCAGCAGCGAAACAACCCTGAGCACCGGCGAGGAAGGACGCGGCGAGCTGGTTGGTCGTGTTGGCGCGCGTCTCGGTCATGTAGTTGATGAAGTAAGTTGCGAGGGCCACTGCGCGCGGCGTGTGAGACTTATGAAGAGACAATGCGGTTCATACCAGACACACCTTGTGCGCCAGTGTAGCAGAACGACGCAAATCCAGCAAAGAACAACTTGTACTGCTTCCGGAATGGTTTATCGCCCGCGTCTCCGCCCGCGTGAGTTCTCCCAGCTTGTTCGGCCATGTCCGTGTCTACCGAGAGTGAAAAGAAGAAAGAAGTCTCAGTTCGTGTCGGAGAACCGTGCCAAGGCGAACCCACCTGTGACTTCAGGGATAACCGAGAAAAAGAACACGACCGCGAGGCAGAACACGAAGATCGCAATGGCAAGGTACACCCACTGCACCGTCTTAAGCGAGTTGACCGAATCACCCGTCTGCTTGAAGAACACGTAGGATCCCAGGACGGGCCCGATGACCGACCCGATGGCTTGCACGGCTTGGGCAATGTTAATCCGAACCTCGGCGTACTGAGGCGGGCCCGTAACTGATTGTTCGTGTTATTTTAGATTTTCCGCATCGAGAGAGGGAAGAGTAAGCTGCGCACCAGCCATGTAAGGATTCGCCGCGGTCTCCAAACACCCGAGCCCACTCCCAATGATGAACGTGGCTCCACAGAACCCGCCGAAACTGCGCTTGAGCGCCGCCGGCCACATCAAGAGCGCACCGATGCCCTCGAGCACCAGCCCGAGGATGAAGACGGCGCGGTAGCCGTAGTTGCGCAGGACCCAGTTGCCATAGCCCAGGGACGCGAGAGGATAGGCCCCGAAATACGCCGCTTGGAGGCCTGACGAGCGCGTGCGGGTGATATTGAGTGTGTTTTGGAAGTGTTTGTTGAGGGTGTCGAGCAAGCCGTATGCAAAGCCCTGTCGTAGTGGACGGTTCAGAGAATGATACAAGAGACATGGCTTGAGAGCAAATGGGACGCACCCAGAGGAAGTACAGAATCGTTACCAGGAAGAGCGGCCAAAGCGTCTCCCTGAGCGTCAAGTTCGACGCATTCGTAAGTCGGTCCCCGACCTTCAGCGAGTGCACCTTAAACCGTCTCATCTTCGTCGGCGCTGGTTTTTCAGTCTCAGACGTCGGAGTCATTATCGTGAAAAGAGATGGAGATGCACGAGAGAACAGAGGAAATGCCAAGAAGCGGGACAGGGAACGCTCGGGTGGCTTCCGAACTACAACCTCTTACGTTCTTTAAATGTGGCATATAAGGAGCACCGATCCGATGGTGCGGGCCCCGGGGGATCAGCCAAGAGTAGCGAGGAGGGGAGTGAGGAGAAGCGGAAGCTGGAGAAACCAATGATTCCGTACGGTGGAAGCCAAAATGCAAAGTTCTGCCAAGTGAAGCCGGGGATGAGAGGTTTCGGCCGGCAAAAAAACGCGTGGAGATACGACAAGCGGGGAGATGATAGTATGGAAGGACTCTCCATTTCCTTCTTCCGGACCCTGGGTCCGACAGCTCGCATCTGAGAGCCAGCATCCAACTTACACCCAATCCCTGTCCGGTCCGATGTTGCGAATGTCGCAATTTTTGTCAACCCCACTCACAACTCACGCGAAATAGATGGAACAATTGACAAAGTCCCATTTTCACAAACGAGCTCAGTTTGGCAATCACAACCGCCAAGAGCAGACACATACCCAAAGGTAGATTCATCCGAGTGACATCGACCAATTCTGTCGCATCGATACTGGCTTTGTTGCTTCACAAGTGAATTGTAACAGATGGATTGGCCAACACCCCCTCATGTTGGGACAAGGCAAAGCTTCACTCTTCTCCCTGACGAGTGACTTCCTTCGACGAATCCTTGTGGCTGAACCAGCTTTCTGTTCTCTATCAGCTCTGAGACCTTTTCCAGAAGCACACTGGTCAATAGGCTTCGGGACCACCGTGAGGAATAGGTTGACCAGTCCGTACCCCAACAACCATCCTATTGAAGTTGACTCAGCCGGCCTTTTCCTTTGCCACCATTCTGCGTATCCAGCCCAGTCTTTTACCGCATAGCTTGGGACAAACGCGACGCGACAGACGGCGACATCTCCGCATTTCCCGCGAGGCCATTTCTGTGTCATGATCGGATGTGGAATATGATTGTTTCCATCGGGGTCGGCAGACAAAAGCTGGTTTGGGCAGCCAACATTTTGGCTTGTTGGCTAGGTAGATTATGGTT